CAGTGTAAAAACATGGCTCCTCTATTAGATTGATAGCGTTCACTCATCTAGCAGGAAAGCTTAAATGTAAGTAAAATAAAATAAAATGCATTACAATGAATAAAATGCAGACATTTTAGCACAGTATTGCAGCATTTGATGTAAAAGTTTGAGCCAACTGCAAAGTATACATCCTCTAAAGAAAATGCACTTCTGCACATTTTAATACTCAATTACTGTTTATTTGCTGAATTTAACACATTGGTAAAAAGCAAATACATATATAAAATGTGCCTTGTGCAAAACATTAAAGCAAATGTTATCATTTATGTTCTATTTTTTTTTTTACAATATTACAAACTTTCAATTGTGTACAAAAAAGAAAAAACCTATATAAATGTGTTCTCTGTGGAGGATGTTTTAACCAACTTTCTCTTGGAAAAAACATGTAATTTGACCTGGGGTGTTCACATTTTTGCATACGGCTGTCGTTTTGCATACGAATATGAATATGATTCTGAAATCATTGTGCATCCCAACATATTGGTTAATGAACTAAGATGGACCTGTTTCCGCTAACCCTGCAGAAGGCCCTACTTTAGAAAAAATAAAGTATTAGAATCATCTCGAGTTTAAGAAAGAGAACTCACATAAATGAAAACAATGATAGCACTGGTACATCAGTACTTAGGAAGTGCTGAATACGCTAGAAAAATTAGATAAGGCTTTGGTTTTCAATGAGTACAACATTAACTACAAAGAGACTCAAACTCTTTTTTTTCCCCCAGGGGCTGCTGGGATATTCTTGAAGATGCATCTGAGCCTGAGATGGGGTCCTGGGTCTAAAAGGGCTGAAAGACTCTGGACTAATTCATTCACATTTAATAAGGGCTAAATAAATCTATCTAATGTCCTTTAACTGGCATCAGAGAAAGGGATGCTTCTTTTCAAAACGCACACACCGGTTACATAAGACCATGCCAGCACAGTCACAATCCCTGCTCTCGAGCCTGCACACACTTCACAATCGCTTCATTTAACCATCATCCTTGCAGATTCCTTACTACAAATAAAGCATGGCAAATGAATGCCACAGTGTCAACCACACTTTTAACTGAAGAAGTGCCATTCACACCCATCATTTTTACAGCCAGAGTTTTTAACACCCATAAATCAGTTCAAGTGAAAAGGTCGAACGCTGGAAACGAAAACAGTCTTATTGTGAAGCATCTGGAAGGAGGCACTCTGGCACACAAGTCTTCTAATCTTGGACAGATAAGTTAGTGCATCATTTAAATTCATGACTTGTAAAGCACTGAGTGCACATCCTCTTCACCACTACCAATGTCCCACAGGAAATTCATTGGCTGTTTTAACCCTCTTTCTGCGACTGTCGAGAGAAAAATGGCACCTTGCTCAGCACAAACCCCTGCATCCTACACCAGGCAAAGATCAAGGAAGGGCTGGGAAGGATATGCAATGTGCTGAGGCTTGCAGCACTCTGCTACAGTCGCTACACAACAGGAAACGGCGACCTATTGTCTACTGAGCTGAAACAACACGTCCACAGCCGTCTCCACGGTGACCGTGCGACCAGCGGTAACATGTGATCAGCTGTGCAGTGGCAGAGGAAAGTGTGCCAAGGGAAGTGGAAAGGGAAAAGCTGGAATGCACACATGCATGCATTCAAGTATCCCCCACATTACTCCCCTCCCTTTCCCTTATTGTCTTTTAACAGAGCTTCCCTGACATAGGTTAATGTTGCTGGAAGACCAATGAGAACCCGCCAAACTACATCCACATGAGGCAGTCATGAGATGTCAGCAGGTTAGCAGGTGAGAGTTTAAAGATCAAAGGCACTCTAGTGCTTTAAGGTGACATATTAAATGCTATACTACTGCTGTAAATCATGAAATATTCACTACCTGTTCTACAGCCACATGACCTGCTCCTGATTGAAAGGCCACTGATCAATGTTCAGAACAGAAAGTCGTCTACAATAAGCTTCAATAAGGTGTTACACGGCACGTAACATCGACTCATGTACAAAATGTCAAGTGAGAAGACCTATACCCTACTTTTTTTCCTTCTCCCTTAAGTCCACATTTGACTAAACTGCTGTAGGCTAAATAGGTGGATATATAAAAATTTGTTGACTTTTATGACATCACAGAAGTAATGACGTAAAATCTGGCTGTTTTTGGCTTAATTTCCATAATTAAATTGCCGGGAAGGGAACCACACATTTCGAAAATGTAGCAGCATTTTACATGCTACATCAAGTTGCTGTATTAAAAAAAAATAACATAGAAAATTAAGTTTTCCATTAAAATGGGTCTTTTAAAGGCCTAACCTCATTTAGGGATATGCATTCCAACTAATTTCAGATTCGAATATCAGTTCATGAAGAGAAAAATATACTTGCGCCATGTTTGTTATTTGAAAACTGATGAGAGATCTTGAGCTAGCAGGCTCAGCTTGAAGTGAACTGAAGCGCTCAAATAAAAACAGCTCATTTTGAAGCTTAGTTGTTTTTAAATGAAAAAACCTCAGATCAGAATCTGCCAATACTCAAGGTTTCAGTGTCAGAAATGAAGTCAGCTTTAGTAACAATAAAGTGGTGCCATTGTACTATTAATATGTTAACTAGCTACTTAGCAAGCTAATTAGCTGAATAATTCAACAGTGTTTAAATGACATGGCTAAACTAGTGTTAGACTGGAGTTTCCACAAGCTCTTTTTTGAAACCATGCTGGCTCTAGAGGGGCTAGCTAAAAGAGGGGCATATCTGTTCATGTCTCCTCCAAAATCACATGATGTACAAAGTTCTAGGTTGAGTCTTTAGTCTTTGTGTGTGTGTGTGTGTGTGTGTGTGTGTATGTGTGTGTGTGTATATATATATATATATATATATACACACACACACACACACACACACACATACATACATACATACATAGAAAGTAAACACAGAGCCTAAAAAGCAGACATTCTCACAAATAGCTCAGGTTCTGCACGGGTTAATAAATGTCATCCCTAAACATGATAGTGCAATACTGTGAACACATGATCATTAAGCAATGTCAGGATAAGTACTAAGTAATACATGCTAATAAAACCTGAGGCTCTCATTAAAAAACATTCATGCTGCATTGTCATAAATCCCCATTTAAACTCAACACCTTCCAAATTCCAGAGGTTCATGCTAAAGATTAAAATAACATTCATCAGGACCAGCAGTGGCAGGATTAGTTCTACTGCTACATAAAAACAGACAGGCCAACACCGAGCCATTCATGATAAAGAGAGAACGTTCCAGGCCAGCACTATGTAAATATCATGTTCAACAGCAGTGTCCAGCCTCTGACTGCTTGTTTGTCATAGAAATGACCTTCAGATAACAAGGACACAGGCCCAATGCTTCGTAATTAGTTCAGCATTGTTTTTAAAATGACAGGCAACCAGGAATTACACTCTCAATCAGGATGAGCTGAGACCGTGGACCAAAAAAAAAAAAATCAATATTCCTATTTTGGCTTTTGTAATTACTTAATTGCAAAGGTCTGAGAGAAATGCATTTAGTGGAGATGCACAATGTATCATCAAGCATTTCTAGAAAAAGCACTATTCAAACGAGCCCACTAACAAATTACAAAGATTTCAGTTGTGCGCACTCTCCATGCTCTGACCAAACCCAGAAAATGCTTCATGACGTTCATGACATGTGGTTTTCAGATACAGTGTCTTGCTAGTGCCATAATTACTGCTTGGGACTACAAATATATGGATATATAAGAAAAACTGTTATGTAGAAATGGTATTAATCTATTCAAATACTCAAATAAGTGTGCTAGTGTAAAAAGTCTTGGCTGTGTGTGTCATCACACTAATCATTTGACAGCAGTGGTGACATTACACCAATGAGAACTAAAAGATTAGATACGTGAATGTGAATCCATTCACTAAAGTTTTAAGAAGAAAACAAGAGAGAGGAAAGCTAAACACGTTATGAGCTGAATTCCGATAAATATTCACTACTACAAACAAAATCATACATCAGTTAATCTAGCTAATCTATCATAAATGGTTACGTAGGTGGGGAGGGCTACAGTAGGACCATAAGTCAAGAGGTGTGGCTCTTGGAGCACCTGCAACCTGTCACACCTAGCCAGGCAGGTAACATCGACTATCGACCAAGAACTTACTTTGATAGGCTGTAACTGCAATTTAATAAATCACTATGTACATATAGTGCGTTCCTATGTGTCACATACAACAGAAGATGAAATTTGACGAGTTTTGTATACAAACAAAAGCCGGAGAGACACATAATATGCAAGCTGTTGTAGGAAGTCAACGTTAGCAAAGGCCCTATGAACTATATGTACTGTAATCGAAAAAATATAAACTAGTTTCTTAAGCAGTAAATTAACCAGCCAGGTTAGCTAGCGTTAAGTCACTTGAATATGGAAAGCAGGGTCGACAGGCTGGGTTGTGTGCATCGTTATTTCATTATGAAATTATGTTTTAGACAGCTTTTGTAGGCGAAGTTGTAATGTCAATAGCTACACCACTGACACTAAGCTGCTAAGCAAAGTAGTCGACCATTAAATCAATGAGCCTGGCCAGCGTAATAACCATAATAGCTACGACCGAAGGCACCTCTATAATTCTACCACGAACTGAACAGCTACGACGAGTTAAATGTCTATAATAAAAAAAACCACACAGTTAGTTATCTAGCTAACTAGCTAACTAAATTTGGTTGCTCAAAACTAGCTAACCTAGCTAACGTTGGTGTTATTAGAAACAGCTACCTGGCAATCGACTAGTCAACGTTAGCTAAGCTAGCTCTTTCACGTTAGCTGGCCCACTGCTGATGGGAGGTCATTTTTTATTGGGAGTGAGCTAGCTGGTAGACACAGACCTAGACTGTTCGCTGTAACTACTAATTTACACCGAGTAAAACAAAAATGATACAACAAAACTCAGATTAATTTCGCGAGACATTTAAGCCGTACCTGCAGGTGCTCCTGAAATCTGATAGGCAGGATCTGAGCCATGATCGTTCCTCTTCCCTCTCCTCCGTATTCCTGCTTTCACCGCTAGCTCGCTAACCGACTACAGCTTCCTCTCTCAGATCCAAGCCGGGCTCCCCGAGGACGGCTTGCCGTGGGTCCCACCGAACCGACTGGAGCTTTATCGTCTGTGAACGTGCCGGAGGAAGTGCTAGCTGCTCTGCTCGCCCGACGAGAGTTAAACAGGCGGTTCTGCTCCAGGTCGCCGAGAGGTGGCCGCTGCTCTGTAACTCTCGGAAGCTGCAATGGCGGCGGAATCTGCCCGGGGTGGAAGCACTCCGGAAACGGGTCCGGACTTTAACGACGCGGAGGGATACAAAGACTGATTTTATGTTTGTACATTCAAACGTGCCGTTCCGCATCCGATTTTGAACCAGGGCGGATGAAAACGTGAAAGGTTTTATTTTACAAAGCGAGTCTTTCACAAATTAAGCAATAGTGTAACCGCTACAGACCGAGCGAATCTTTTCGGCACTATTTCTTTACGATTCGCCCTTTGATTTTTGCCACATCATTCGTCCTCGTGAACTGACGTCAGTTCCGATGAGTTTTTAGATTTTTTTTTCAGAGCACGCACCTACTGCGGGACTCAAGTGCTTTCAAGAGCTCATACCGTGATTAAAGTATAGAAATTTGACTAATAAATAAGATTCTGAGTTCAGTGACAGTTCGTTCGACTCAGTTTCATTTGTATAAGTTAGTGCTTTTTGGATTTTCTGTGTGTAGGTTTCAAGTTTCTAGGTTGTTTTAATACTGCACACTTTCTGTGTGAGAAAGAAACAGCAAATGTGCAACAGTGACAAGAGTGACAAGTGGATCGACCTCGGATAGTGCAGTTAGTATACGAGTAGTTTAAATTTCAAATTTATGAATCATTCAGTTGATGAAATAAATCAATAACGTTATTCAAAGCAGTTTGATGTTAAATGATGCCTTTACAGACACCGCTTCAAATGTACAGTCAGATCCATAAATATTTGGACATCAACAAAGTTATTGTTATTTCAGTTGTCTACCACTGCATATTGGAGTTCAAATTAAATAATGGCATTGAGCTTAAAGTACAGACTTTGAGCTTTACTTTAAAGGGATTTACATCCAAATCAGCTGAACAATTACAACTATTTATTAGGGGTTAAAAAGTAATTGGACAAACTAATAATAATCATAAATTAAATTGTCATTTTTAATACTTGTTAGCAAATCCTTTGCATTAAATGATTTCTTGAAATCTGGAACTCACAGACATCACCAGGCGCTCGGTAAAAGGGAACCCGTTCCTTTGGCAGTTGTACATGCCGGTGCCATAGTACTACCTCCACCATGCTTGACAGATATGGTTGCATGCTTTGGATCACAAGCAGTTCCTTCCCTTCTTCATACTCTTCTCTTCTCACCCTTCTGGTACAAGTTGATCTTTGTTTCACCTGTCGATAAGATGTTCCAAAACTATACATGCTTTTTTAGATTTATTTTTGCAAACTCTAATTTGTGGTAAACATGGTTTCACGCTGCTTCTACTTGCGTTAGCCACCTGTTGCAGGATTCTACTATAAGTGATTAACTTAATCTACAAGAGCACGATAACTAGTAGTCAACCTTAACTTAGGAATAAAATGAGCAGTGGCACACAATAGGACATATATGAAACTTCTCCACAGTGTACACGGCTCATAAATTCATAAAAGGAGCCAGTCATAAGAGGAAAGCCTCAGTTCTCCAACATTAGTTGCAAAATGTAATTTCATATTTAAAATGGCCACTAGAAAGATTGTTCTACATTTTGCACTTTATAGTCACCATTTCGAGAGCAATCAAGAAGAGCGAAGTGGTCTATTTTATTTGTGGAGGAGCCTTAAACATGTAGGCTTAAGATACACCGACCACAGTATCACTCACCACTGCCACTGGATCCAGGTGTTTTACGTCCCTGGGAGACACCACTGTGAATGATTTTGCGCTCTGAGTTGTCCACACAGTTATAAGCAGACAGCAGTTCAAAAATTTTTTAGAGTATTTCTCTGCTATTAAATTGTATTCATTTAGATATATATGTATATTTCTTGAATATAACATTAGTAAACCCTTTTCTGTGGCATATCTGTGCTATTAACACAAAAAAGCCTGTAAAAAACATTTGAAAACATGTCAACAGGGGCTTTAGGAATGTAACAAAGAGTTGTTTGGCCACACCTGATATTTTTGCAATTTTTCTTATTTTTTTTTAGGCTAGTGATTGCTTACTTCTCTGGCAGCGACAGCTCTTTGGACTTCATCTTGAGAGTTAACTGACACAGATTTCAAATGCAAATGCCACACTTCAGATCAGCTCTAGATCTCTTATCTGCTTACCAGTAAGTGAAATAATTGAAAGAATCACATCCCTCCCTTGTCATAGAACAACTGAGCAGTCAATTGTCCAATTACTTTTGAACTCCTTAAAATGGGTGAGGGGCTATGTATTAAAATGGTTGTAATTAGGATGTAAATACCATAAAATTTAAGCTGAAAGTCTGCTCCTTAAGCTCATTATTTAACTTCAACTCCAGACTACAAAAAAACAACAGCTTTATTGACATCCAAATATTTATAATTCTGGTTGCATTTCCAGTGGTGGTGATAAGAACCAGGGGTTGTGACGTCCACAACACAAATGCAGCCCTTTTGTTATAAAAAAAAAAAAAAATCAATACAACACTGGCATCCTGTTCCAGGATGAAACAACAGCACATTTTGCTTTCCCTTGCTTGCTATTTTGAACATTACAGTCAGATCAACTGTCTTCTCAGCTCCATCTGTGGCCTCTCTAGACTGTATTAACAGATTTCTAACCATCTGAACATGACGTCCTGTCCCGCTTTTGAATATTTTTTTTCAGTAAACAGAATTTGGTGCCAGAGTATATAATACTTATGTTCCAAATATGTCAACCATTTGTAATAAAAAAGTGCAGCCGCAGTAGTACTTACTAAATATTACAGTACTGTAAAAGAGGCATTAATGTAAAACTGTATTGCTCTCGATGTTGTAATGATGCATTACTGTCCATATGCTGTCTGAAAGTATTTGTGTAGATATGATTCTGCAGCTGGAGAACCACTATTTTAGTAGTCAGCAGTTCTCCATCCTGTGTTATTCCAGGTAATGTTTGCGGTCCATCTACTGGAACATTAGCCATTTTATGCATACTCAGCTGTGTTACACACATAACGGATACTACAGTGAGTGAACCACTACTGCAAAATAATGTGGCAATCAGTAGTGACTTACTGTTTCCTTGCACAGGAAGGGCTAGATCTGATGCAGAAATAAATATATAATAGCACAAGGTGCGCATCATACTGAGCTCTAACATTTAATCTGTACATGACTAGTAGCCCATTAAATTCATGCAGCAAGATGGAAGGCAAGAAGTTAATTCGTTCATAAATCAACACTTTTAAAAGCAAGTAAGGATCTGGGCGGGTGTCACAATGAAATACAATCACTTCCCCTTTAACTTGGTCAGACTAACATAATTCTGCTGAGCTCAGGAGTAACTAGGGTGCAACAGCATTACGAAACGAGAGCAAATACCAAAGCATACTAACAGCTCAGATTAAGTGATGACTATTGAAGTGACATTCTAGTGGTTCTAGGAATCACCACATTGAGTTGTTCTCCATCTATCCTAATTTTGACTTATGCTAGAACTAAGAAAAATGTTGCTAAAAGGTGTCTGCCACCAATGTTGGTTGGTAAATCATTAATCACACCTTGTGAACCGGAACGTAGTCACGTCTGCAGTGAGTCTGTAATTTTAGAGATTTATTCATTACTAGACTCGTCTGGAAGAACAGAAACTCAGTAATTCCAGTACATTAATCAGATCTGCTGCTTGCTATGAAGAAAAAAAAATGGGCAGACTCTGATCTCTTTCTCCAAATGAGTCAAAAGGTGGGGATTATCAGTTCTTCTTTTATCTGTAATAAGGACGATATCTTGCACAGCTGATTCAGCTCAAGAAGGACTTGGGATACGACTAAAATGCAAGGAAAGCACAAAACTGCACACGTCTTCAGCATAGAATAATCATGCGTAAGGAACTAATGAAGAAAAATGTTTATATTTGCTGCCACCTAGTGGTTTTATTTTTCTGTTAACATTTTTCCCCCTCAACAAATTTTTCCAACAATTCATGGGCAAACACTGAAATAAGCACCCATGACAAATCCTCTTGAATTTGATTAGAAAATGTGTTTTAATGTAATCCATAATTTAAGTGGTCTGAGCAATACATAATACTTAATTGTGAATAAATAAAACATGGTCATTGAAACAGAACTGACGAACACTAGGCTAAAGTATCAGCGAATAATAATGATCCCATTTAACATAAATACAGTACATGATTCCTATAAAAATCTGAAATACTCCAAATATTCCTAATCAAATACATACAAAGATTACGTTATAAACACTTGATTACAAATCCTCTAAAGTGCAAAGAGTTATTGTTATGTTTTCTTAAAAAATACACATATTCAAAAAAAAGTGACAGTCAAACTACAAAAATACTTTAAAAATTTGGTCAGTCATCTTAGTGGTATTTTCAAAAACCTTCTCCCTCTTACAGCCATGAACTAACAGTGCTACAGTAGTTACTAAAGTTGGGGCACCAAATTAGGAGCGTTGGCCCAGTATCCATGTTTGTTTCGGTAACTATTCGGTACCCAGCCGTTTGGTTTGAAAGAGTGGTTGTGTCTCCCGTGGGGGCGGAAAAGGTAGGTAGGCAGTGGAGGGCCATGTCCTTTCCCTGGACTGAGCTTCTTCTTGGATGCAGAGTGCCACGAGGGAGCACCAGGGTAGATGAGCTTTTCAGAGGAGGAGGCACAAAGAAGAAATTATTTAATTCTAGATCACATTTCTTAACCTGTGGGCCAAGATATATCTTGCACCTCAATCACAGTAACCAATGATTAATTGTTTTGCAGTTGTAGAATCACTACAGTGTGTTACCTGGAATGGAGGCCGATTATGAGGGAAACATTTGGTGAATCGGGGCTCCCTGCAGCCACTGTCCTCATCTGAAGAAGATCCTGAATGATAATCTGACGTCACTCTCTCTACAGCACTCGTCACCTTCTTCGTCACATCCTCCTTATCATCGTCATCGTCACTTGAGAAACTGGCCACCGTGAAGGCAAGGTTCTTCTCACCATATCTGAGTAATGTGAAAAAGGATGCCTTAGCTTTTTATGAATAGCAACTAATGAAAACTGTATAGACTGCAGTACTACCACACTTTGTTGGTCTTTACTGACAATGTCCAAGACATGCTCAGTGCGCACAGTGACCTAATGATAAAATGTCATGGTGCCCAACTATGTTACATTAAATAATACTACTAATAAATGCGATAAAAGATTATTATAGATTTGTATATAAAACAATGTTTTTATGTAAAAAAAGCACTTTGAAAGCATTTTAATGTAGGCTATAATTAAAATTCAATTATCAACAATATTGTTTTAGCAAGTTCTAAGTGAAAAAATTTAATCTATTTACTCAGTACTGGTGCACTACCTATAGATGAGTTATACCAAAGAGAATCAACCAAATATTCATAGTGTTCAATAAAAGTCTATTGTCTACGTTGCCAAAAATAAATAAATAAATAAAAATAAAAAAATTCAAAAATAAAAACCAAAACAGGGCTGGACATTAAATCTTTTGAAAATGATTGCATTTTAAAAATCAGTCACAAACTGTGTGTCAGAAAATAGCAGTTGCATATTTTCCCCCCAAATGATTCAGCCCTACAGAAGACACACCTGCAGCACACCTCTCCCGGGTCTACCCACAACGTGAGCTCTTTGGGAAGGCCAAGATCCTTATACTGCACCCCACTCTCAGCACAGGCCCGCAGTAGTTCAGGATCCTCCTTATGGAAACTGTTCACTCGTATACACCTGCAGAATATCAAGGTTAACTCAAAATGAGTAAAAAAGTTCAACGGTGGTTGCCGCTAATCATAATTAAACACTGAACGTTTCAAGCAGGGGCTTCTTAATATCAGTCCCCAGAGAAAGACACAATGAAGATCTTCGAGATATCCAGCTCAGCTTATGAGGAACTTCACGATCAGCTTAAACACTGAAGCAAAGGTGTCAAGAGCACAGAAAATATGGGATTTTGCAGGGCAGCGGGTCCCTAGAGTCGAGAATCCTTATGTTACAATTACATCCACCTCAGGCACTGTACCTGAAGGCCTGGCCTTTGCTAGGGTTGTCAGAATACCAGTGACCCCTGAACTTCTCCTGGAGAGCCACAGTCAGCCTCTCCACAAACAGATCCACCTTCTCTGCATCCAACTTCTCAGCCTTCTTGATCAACCGCTTTAAGAAAAACACCACAGCTGCAATTTCTTTCTTCATTGTTAGCTGTTGAGCTGAAAATCAGGTCCGAATTCTACAAAAGGCATAATGAGAAAAGATAAGCAATGAGATCATGGCAAGTTAATAATGTTACATCCCCTATGAATTTTAAACAATACGTTTAATTACTTAAAAAAATATTGAATATAGCTTTTAACGAACATAACATTAATACAGATAACAGAAATAAGCATACTTTGCATTTCCCTCACAATATATAGGCAAACCAAAAGCAAATCGTTTACTTACACAGCTTGTTACCCTAAGGATGAAGTGTTTACTCTCTCAAACAAGAGACCTCCTCAGACAAAGCCTACAGCCAAGCTGTTTACATCAAGTTCAGCACAAAGTATATGACATTTTCCCCTAGCCTTCCACTGAAATATAGCGCTACCGTTACATGAATGACTCACTCTAGTTCAAATTACATACTGTAGCTAGTACGCGGCGGTAACTCGGGGGCACCTAGTTACTCTGCAACTTGTGGCAAATCCCACAAAGCCCCAACGTTCGCTGAGCTAATAAATTCGACCGATGAGTCAATCGGCGGGAGCGTTCAGATAATGGCGCGCTTGACATCATCAGCGCTCTACAAAATACAAGCCATGGAGTTAGCCAGAAGCTAACGGTGTCCACAATAAAGAGAGCTGTTCTGCCCCAAGCTACATCGACAATAACGTCTTAAACGCAGAAAGTAATAAGTGGTATATATTTAAGTTATATGACTGGAGAAACATTATTTGCAACTAGCCAGTTAAGCTTTAATCTAACAGACAGTGGTAGGCTGGACCTGCATGCTACTGTTGACTGCTGCTAATATAGTCAACAACAAACAGATAACAACTTTTGAACTATTACAACGGAAATAATTAACGAAGCTTATCTTTTTAAGCACACTACGGGCTGTTTAGAATTTCAAAGAACGGCGTAGCTAGCTACACCATAAAGCTAAGCTAAGCTAGCTACTGGTCTGACTAACGTTTCGCGCTTAGCCAACAATGTCGCTACCGACGTGGCCTGCCGCGTTGTTGTTGTTGCAGTTTGTTGACCAATGTTTCAACACTTACTAAGTTTTATGTCCAAGTCACACAGCACAATCCAAAAATCATTCCCAATCGAAATATCTAAAAAAAAATATATACTCACCGTGTTTTCCGTTCATCAACATGTGGGTTAACTCCTGCCTTACCAAGACAGTTCTAGAGCCTGCTGTGCGCAATTCCTGAATTACGTCACTTTCCTTCTACGAGCAACGTAACGGGGGGAGTGGACAACGATACTCAGGTCAACAACACAGAGCCTATAAGAATTTGATGATGCCATAAGGCTTAAATCCCTGCTGGGAAAATTCCATTCACACCAAGCCAGAATGGCCTCCCTCAAACCTAACTTCAGACCGCTCATCATAGATTTAAAATTGCTATGTGCCTTTCTGCCTAATGTTCTCTTTTACAAAAATATCGAAAAACTTTTCTTGTTAAAAAAAATTGTGCATGCCGTTTTTGACATATTTCTTCCTTTTTCCTTCTCTTTCTGGTGTCCCCGAACTGTTTTTGTATTATGTCATTTATCATTTTGAAAACAAAATCTGAAAAAGGAAAAAATAGCTTGTAAGAGTTTTCTGTAGCCCCAGGATGTCTTTTAACCTGCATGACACTGGAAGTACACGACAACATGTTTTTTGTTGGAAGAGTCAAGCTTGTTAGCTTACTCCGCTGCTCCTCAGTACATCTAGTTTTAACATGTGGCTTTACAGATTACATTTTAACTACAAACACAAATCAGAAAACACATGTGAGTGAACACACATGAGTGAACATACATCATTTTCTCCTTGTTTCTCCCCTTGTGCACCACCTGATGCTTCTAATCAGGTGGTGACTCACTGTCAGGGGAGGGCTCTCTAAAGGTGAATAGCAGCTACATCCCAAGTTTTTTCAGATGGTCTGAGTCAGATACTGTGCAACTTGAGTGCCACTGCAGAGTCAAACCTCTGTGGTTCTTCCTGCCCAGCCAGGGGCACCGTAAGGGGTGCAGTGGGTTTGGAGGGAGATTAGGACAGTTCCAAGGGCCCTAAAGACACAGGGGCCCACAAAGATTGTATGCTAAGGTGTGTTTTTTTGCTTGTGATTTTAGCTGAAGATTCTTTTAAAATTGAAACACTTAATTCATTAAATAATAATTAAAGACTACATTTAGATACAGTGCCAACAGCAGTGCATCTTGCATTCTGCATCTTGCACCCCACCAGCCCCCCTTTGTGTAAATCTTCAGGAGTCCAGTCACAGTCTGTAAGAAGAACAAGATTTTTATTAATTCAAATGAAGATGCCGTTGCAACAGATAGCTGTTGATAGAAAGAAAGCAGTTGTCAAACGGAAATCAACAGAGCTGTCAAAACAAACGTCATGTCCTAGTACAACAAGAACTAATATCTCCACAAATAAGCATTATAGTGGGCTTTGAATAATGGATCTATTGTGCAGTAGTCAGAAAACAGCTGGTTACAGATGTTTGCTTTGACAGACAAAATGCGGTACTTTTGAGAAACAACAGACATTCGATTTTCAGCCAGCTGCACACACTATTTGGATATGCAGTCATTTTGCTTATATTTATATTCACGGCTTGCTGCATAAGGCATGGAATTATGAAGCTTTAATAAAATAAAAATAGGACTATGATAATTTTGGCATGTTTCAATGTTGTGACAGATTCAGCTAGGGGAAGCCCATTCTGGATGGACCTCCTGTGCTAACTGTTGCCTGATCCGTTCTAGTGCAGTGCAATTCACTGTTTTGATTTTTTTTACTGGCAGCTACATCACCTAATGTGCGGGTGAACTGCACAAATCATCTGAATGCCCGCTGTGCTTTCTGAATAATTTCAGCATCATGGTCCATCTCAGCATTTCTTGCTTTATTTGCTTAAATGAGAATTTCTGCACAATTAAATCATTGTCGTCTAGTCATTCAGTCATTCAGAGTGCTTTGATGCTCCATTCTAAAGAAACTTACTGAGTCAGAATTTTTTACACAGCAGTAGTGAAAGGAACCTGACGACGAGTTGAATGCCTCAAAAAAGCCACATCACAAGTGATTATGTGAAATGGTTACAAATACGCTGCCTGATGCGTGACACATTGTTTTCCTGTAGTTTTATGAACAGACGTGAAATATATTCTTAAAAATTAATTTATGGTAGAGAGGTACATGCAAGGCAAAATAGAATTAGACTGACATTTTGAAAATAAATTGAGTAATTCCCCTTTTGTAATTGTTTCTCATTGTTGTGCCTAGTATTGGCCTTTAGCCATTATATTAACTAATCATATTTATTAAACAAAATTAATGTTTGTCCGCTTTCAGTTTCAAAAACAGCAGCTTTCACACAGAGGGAGATATTCTATGTGGCATACTAATCTATCCAGCTGCTAGGCATCAGCATCCACTCTGCCACTCTGTCTTTAGCAAATCTGCATCCTGAGCAGTGCTGAGTTTTGCTAGTGGTTAGTCTGCCAGTGACAGCTTGGCCCTTCCCTTACACATGATTCTACAGTGTCAACAATAGTGTGGCCTCCCCTCATTGAGTCAGCTCAGCAGGCTTATCTGTTGCTACCTCAACTTTATTCAGATGAGTGCAAGGTAAGTCCCATAGGGAGGCCATGATTCTGCAGTGAGAAGTACTCTTTTATTATACGTCAGCAGAAAAGCATATAACATACCATCAAACTCAGTGGGAGGTCACCAACAGGGCTTCCACTTCTCATGGCCCCCCCCATCACACCCACAAACTCAAAATCCAGACAGAAAATAACACAAACACATCTTGAACTAAAGAACAATGATATTAACAACAATTAAAAACACAATAAGTCCCTTTTTCAAGAGGGGGCACGCCTTCCACAAGCCTCCTCGCATGGCCACAACTCCTGAGCTTCTCACAGCCACACATGGCCGCTAGCAGGATGCTACATGGCCTCCTCTTTGAAGGTTGGCCGTCCTGGCGACCCAACAGCTTAAGCCAAGTCCCTGGGCACATGCAGTCTCAGCCAGCACAAGCGCTGTGTCAAGTCTCATGCAGCTGGGGGCAACTGCAGCAACAATAGCACTTCACTCAGCCGCCATCCCCTTTCTCTGCTGCCCACCACGCCATCGACGCTGCTGTGAATACCACTCATGAGCACTGGGGCCTCATGCGCACTGGGGCCTATGTCGCTGGTGACTGACATGAGTTAGGAGATGTTTGCCTTTCAACAGTTTGATGTGCCCTTCTCGGTGTGTGTGAGCACACCTGGTTGCAGGAAGGAAATTGGTGAGCCTGTGACAGCGAGCGGGATGAGCCATCTGTTGTCCACGTTGCGCTCGATCCACTGCCTGCGTCCGCTGAACCTCCAGGCCTGCATCTGTCTACCCCCCAGTCCAGGCTGTGCCACCCAGCCCAATGTTCTCTCTCTCCACAACAGTGACTCACCAACCATTCCCCACTCAACGAGATGCTGAAGCCATCATCGGTTTTGTTTTCACTTTTGCCGGCCTTGCTCTTGCCTGTGCCACTGTTGTACCTCGTCACGCTACCTCCGGCACCAAGTTTTCTTGCGCTGGCCTCATCATCAAGCCTTCACACGCCAATTCTTACTGGGTCTTACTGTGTTTTCTCCGTGGAGCCTCGCAGCACTGTCACTACCATTGTGGCATTCCACAAAGGCTCTGCCTCTCTCACCATTCATCCTGAAGTTCTTTGTAGCACAGTTACACTCTAGACCACTGGTGGGTGCTATCTCACGTTTTTAACTTTTAACAATGTTAAACAATGTTTTATTTTAAACAACAAAATGAGTCTCTTTTTCAGAGGGTGCATATCTCCCATAAGCCACCATGCATGGCCCTTTGTGTGGCCACACCTCCGAGTTTCTCACTGCAAGAAGAACAAGAATTAATTTAAATTAACATAAACAGCCAGGGGGCAGCATGGTGGCGCTGTGGGTAGCGCTGTTGCCTCACAGCAAGAAAGGCCTGGGTTCGATTCCCGGCCGGGCGACCAGAGTCCTTCCTGTGTGGAGTTTGTATGTTCTCCCCGTGTCTGTGTGGGTTTCCTCCCACAGTCCAAAAACATGCAGTCAGGCCAATTGGACATGATAAATTGCCCCTAGGTGTGAGTGTGTGTGTGCTTGTATATGTCTGTCTGCCCTGCGATGGATGGGTGACCTGCCCAGGGTGTATCCTGCCTTCTGCCCAGTGACTGCTGGGATAGGCTTCAGCACCCCACCACAACCCAGAAGGATAAGCAGTTTAGATGATGTATGTATAAACAGCCAGTGGTGAGACACTATAGCGTTAATCATGCACTGTGCTTAATGCTGGTTTTTATGGTGATTATAAAAAAGAATGAAAGATAAATATAAATATAGTTTGAGGTTGTATGAATTTTGGATGACGCCTAGAGTCAGATTGAGCTGATATAAATTATTCGCATGTCCTAAATTCACAAATTCACAAATGTTTATAATTAGCATTTTACTTTTTTACTTTTACAACACTTACAACTTACAACTATAGTTTGTAAAATGTTACATAAGAAGGGATCAGTTACAGTAAACTAGTGGTTCACAGCAAAACCGCAAACCAAATAAGCCTTTTGAACTATTGTTCTCCTGGTTTCTATGACTGGAATTTTATGAATTTTAGGTCCTGAGTGAATTGTGGTCATATGAAAATTATTTTGGTCTGAAGACATCCATGATGCTGTAGCTATTACCTTTTTGCCCTTTGTGCTCCGAGAAACACGAAATGCGTCTACTATGACTAGAACAGCCCAAAATTTAATTATTCGATATACTGTAATATTAAATGTGCATATTAACTTTTTGTGGACACTTTGAAGTGCTGTCACTGCAATTTAGTTAAACAAGTTAGACAGGGGTTAAAGTAGCTGGGGCTCTGGGAAGAAAAGAAGTAAGAAGTAGTAAGTAACATACCGTTAGATTCTGAAAGACACAGTTATTAATGTGGATGGATTTGATCTGCTGAACCTAAAAAACCAAGGAGTATATATATATATATATATATATATATATATATATATATATATATATCATGGGTTATGGGGTCCCCAGTCAGTCATAACCAGGGCAGCCACAACATGGCAGAAGGAGAAGCAGGGAGAACACCTTTTCTCCCTCAAAAAGGTGAAAACTCAAAAATAATACTTAATCTCATGAATATATGTATGATGGCAGTTACATACTGTGTGTGTATTAATTAAAAGGCCCAGTAAAAATCTGGGGCCACATTACAGAAACTTTTTTTACAGAATCTTTTTGCTTTAAGATCTGACACATCGAGATAAGATTTTCCACAAATTTGTTTTACAGAAACAAATCTTAATTTAATTTCATCTTACAGCATCTTATCTTAACCTACTCGATTGAAGTCAACAATCAACTGTCACGTCTGTTACCAAGCAATCAACGATACACGCAAGGCTCAAATGTAAGCACATAATCAAAATAATCTTAAAAATGTAAGTTACAGAAAAAAAATTCTCACAAATGAAATCACCGTTTTCCAGGCGCCTATAACCACTGTTAGCTCAATACTAGCATATAATGGAAAATCTCACATGCACACCAGCAGAAATTAGCATTATTGTTGTGGGTTTTTTGATGTATATTAGCACATGCCTAAAACATGTCAGTACATGTCCAAAACATCCTGACTGAGACTTGATCCAGAGTCAGTATTATTTTATTGTTATGTATTGAAATATTCTTTTAGTGCCTTGTTCAGCAAGCAACTGTTCAAGGTATAATGCTTTTATCATACAGTCTTTGATCATGATTTCAGCTTATCCTCATCATAGTTAATATTGTATGCGCTCACACTGAAACACAACTTATCATGATCTTTGATGTATTATTCACTGGCAGAAACCAAGATGCAATGAAGCTCCATTTTGTAATGATCGAAGTGATTCGGGTTTAAACAGAAGAGTTAACACTTGGCGCAAAAGTTACAAATACTTGATTATTAAGTACATTGACTGTATAAACTATTGTTCTCCATAATATTACTACCATGTTTCAAATGGGTTCAACTCAACCCTGGAAATACAGAGATTGATGTCTGTTTAATACATAAATATGCATACAAATGGATGACAAATTAAAGTACAAATGTGAATGAATGAATGAATGAATGAATGAAGACATACGGTATAATGAATACATATACTTCCAGACAGGTATTGCATAATACAATTAAGCCTGTCAAGAAGAAAAGAGTGACTTTGAAACGGTTTATTATTGCGTCATAGACAGCAGGAGCAGCTGTTCCTGAGGTCACAAAGAATGCCAATGTAGGACATGATCAGATTGTCAACAAAGAATAGTCCATTCACTGCTACATCCAGAGGGACTAGGGATATTTTATAGTCGTGTTGTAGTGCATAAGCCCCTCATTGCAAACATGAATGTTCATGCAAAAACCATCAGCCTTGGTCTACAGGGATGTGGAAAATGTGAAATGGTCAGATGAATCATCCTTCACCATGTTGTGAAGTGAATGTGTGCACTCATCAAGAGGTCTGAATGTTTGGCCCCTACAATGAGGGGTCCCCTTGTCCCCTAACAGGAACTGTCATGTCAGTTCTTCTTTTAAGTCATACAATAGATAAAGAGAACCCAATAAAACAAACAATCAAGTATATAGTTTCATATTCATTTTTTGAACAATATGACCCAACATTGTATATTTTGACTGGCAAAAATTGTGAACATCTAGAACTATCATTTTGGTATAGGGAATAATTAGGGTCAGGAGGTTCTGGCAATTGGATGACGATCAGACTGGCCCTACTCTATTTTAAAAAACATCAATCTGAGTCTTCATCATCAAAGTCTGTTTTTTATGACACATTTCTGTGAGTGCATGCTACATCTCAGTGAAAAAAAGACTCCTGGGGACCTCAGAAAAACAAAATAATTTCAGCAGAGTTTGGACTTCACTGATCCACCTATAGGCAAATTCAAACATTAGAAAATTCAACACCCTTCCCAGAAGTGGTCATCCAACAAAAATGACTCCAAGGGTAAGGCATATAATATTCAGAGAGATCACAAAAAACAGTTAATGATCTGCAGGCCTCTAACATTGACTCATATGTCCAAGAATAGTATGTATGGAATGATAGCATTGAGAGTGCCACTTCTCTCCAGTAATCCTGCTGCCTGTTTAAAGTGTCATAACGACCACCTGGATGAGCCAGAAGACTACTGAAATAATGTTATGAAGAAGAGTAAGGCAAAAACAGATCTTTATGACTTAAATGATAACTGTTATGTGTGGCAAAAAACAAACACTGCATTCCAGCATAAGAACCTTATCTCAACAGTGAAACACAGTGGTGGCACTATCATGGTTTAGAGCTGTTTTGCTGCAAATGGACGAGGACAGCTTGCTGGATAGGGCTATAAATTCTGGATTGTATCACAAAGTTCTACAGGACAATGTTAATTTTTCCATCCATGAACTGAACCTCAACAGAAGGTGGGTTCTGCAGAAAGACAGTGACCCTAAAAACACCAGTTAGGCCACAAAGAATGGAGAAGAATAACAGATAAACAGAAGAATGTTCTGCATTTTGGAATGGCTGGGTTGAAGAAATGTTGTGGCAGGACCTTTGATGTGGCAGGATCAACAATGTTACTTTTTACTGTTATAAATATTTTACTTTCTTATTTATCTAGTATGACATATTTAGCTAGTATGATTTCGTTTTCCTTCTTTTCCAACTCCTCTTCACGTTTTATGCAATTGGCTGTTCATCATAAATGTCAGACTTTCATGTTCACGTGCATAGGATTAATCACAGCCTGAGTATCTAAACCTGGATTAAGAGTAAAGGCATTTGGTAGCTTTGTTATGCTGTGAAGGGCAGTTTGTTTGCATAATTTGGGCCCACTTGTCCCCATAGAAGGAAGAGTCACTGCAAATCAATACAAAGTTATTGTACGTAATGAGTTAGAATTACATATAACTTTCTGCCACCACACATTTTCATTCCAGGGCTCTGTCTCACAGTGCAGTATTTCAGGCTTACTTAGTTCATTTTAAGCTTAGATATGACGCTTACACTGAATCATCACTTAAGAAGGACACTTATTGGATTACATGGAAATCATTCTGTTTTATTGATGAAGCAATGAGAGTGGCTCCTAATCATAACAAAGGATACTACGTACAATAAAGTATTGTAATAGTGTAGACCAAAACACTAATGTGTAAGTAGAAAGAAAGATAAGTTTGAATGTCAATTAGTTGCTCAAAATTGTTCTCACAGAAGTTTAACAACTCCCAACAGCAGACTGATAATGCTTGTGGGTGGCACTGACCAAAGTGGCATTCATTATTTTGAGGTATTGAACAAATAACAGAGCAGGCCAAATATTGGAACTATAGAATTATGTGCTCTGTGACATGTATGTGTAATAGTGCTGCATGTGAATAACAATTTTAAAATGTAAAAGATTGTAAAACTTGCCCTGAGAGGCAAGTCTTTGGATGCTGACTAAGGGATGAGGAGGAGAGTGGAGGCAGCCTTGGTGATGGTCTGGATGTACTCTTTATAGTCACTGCCCCCATATGTCACCAGCAGGTAGTTCACAATACCCACAACACACATGAGGCATAAGAAGGAGAGCACGCGCTTTCCGAACAGGAAGCCTGGAGTGCTGTAGCAACACCAAAATAAAATGAGGTTTTGACATCATTGGGCAACAACAACTCTGATATTAAGACATTACTGACAGCAATCTTGCAAGGTTTGCCAAGAAATCTGCTTTAAAAAATGAGCAATCAGTCAATGACACAACATTGTTGATATATGAAGAATGAGAGGAGTATACTCAGAATTAAATGTTCCTGTAGTAAATTTATGTATTATTATGATTATCACCTCTGGCATGTCTGTCCCATGTATCCAACAAAGTATTTCTGCCTGGCCACAAGGTACACAGTTCCAGCAAATGCTGCTGGTGCTGAAAAGGAGTATTAGAAATATTGTAAAGCATTGTCTTATAGATTTCTTAACTGTTGTGTGTGTTTTTTTTTCTTTCAAAAAGTCATTTCAGCATCACTTGAAACTGCAAAAGTGTTATAATGTTATAAGCCACACAAAGGCAGTAATGTGAAAGATCAGAATTGGGTGACTGATAAGTCAATACTCTTTACCTTGACTGAGACAGATTCCGGCACACCACATGACTGCCAGGAACGTTGGGTAGGCATCCATACAGTTTCGACTAGAAAGGAAAGGAAGCATATTCTGATATAATGAATATGGCCATATGCAGAAGTGCCCCTGGTCAAATGGCATGTTTTGCAATCTTTTAAGTGATAAGGACACATACTCTATACAGAGAACACACTTATGCACAATTTAATGCCTTTAAATTACTGTTATTGCAGTTACCGTTTATATGCTAAATTGAACACATTTCCAAAAACATTAAACATAAAATAGGCCACATATACAGCAACAAATCCACACGCTCTGGCACATTTTAATTTATATGCTTTCAATGTGTTAAACTTGTTAAAATATAGAAATTGGTGAAAAGGCAACATCCTTGTCTTGTTCCCCTTTGAATGGGAAAGTACTTGGAGTGTATTTCACAATCAACAAAACATGTAATTTGACTGGGAGTATTAAAAGTATGCATGTGGATGTATTCAGCATATTGCCTAAAGGAACTAAACAACAGTTTGATTTGACAATCATTTCTGTCACGTTCATACATGTAGATTAGAGCAAGAGTGTTGATCTATGCTCAGATTCTCTGACTTTTAATCTTGGACAAATTGAGCTGAAAATCAACCACAGAACAGTCATAATTACAGGCTATTGCTTTTAGTGCATATTATTATTATTATTATTAATAATAATATTTTGGATTTTGGATTTTTTCATTTGACTGAGATGAGCTGACGAGCAAGCAAACGCCATGACTTTATAAGAATTTGAAGGTCGCTTGGCATCCTCTGGCCTCACACTAAAAATAGCAATCAAGGGGGTGGTACAATTAGAATATTATAAGCCACACTCAGGGATTTAAAAACTATTGCCCAGAAGCCAAGCAAACTTGGACGTGACCAAAACATGTAAAGTTGTGGGTGTCGATTTACATCTGTCACAAATGGGATCCAAATTTGGGTGAATCTTGGCTAGTTTAGCCTTAGACATATAAACAGGATCTTAAACTATATTAAACCATGTCTATTACATGGAGATGAGACATGCACGCAAGAATCATATTCCATACTTCTGCTGAGAAAGATGAGCTCAAGTCTTGCTCCCATTGTGTTTTAATTATGTCTGTGGGCTGAGGATTTATCTCACCAATGGCTTTGTAAATACAAGAGATTACAGACTTAGAATTTATGTTAAATGATAACAAAACATCAACCAGTGAAATTAGAGATTCAAGTGGAAAATTGTTAAGGAATTGTTTCTTAACAAAACTCCTCAGTTGTAAATATCTAAAAAGTGGGCCTTGGATAGATTGTATTTTTTGCTAGCTGTTCAAATAATGTGAAGGTTCTATCTTTAAACAGATCTTATATAAACTGCATCCTATTTTCGTGCCAGACTAAAGGCTAAGTCTATCATTGATGGAGTGAAAAGGTGGTTAGACATTACGGGTGCCATAACAGAGGGGTTTTGCAAGCCAAAATGTTTCCTGAATTTTGAGCGTGAGCTATCCATAGAGAGGAGGTTATCATGGGTATCCAAGTATCCAAATCTGACTGCCCCCTAACGACGCATCAAGTGGCTCAGTTACCAAGTCAAAAAGCATAGGTGAAAGGCAACACCCTTGTCTTGTTCCCCTCTGAATGGGAAAGTACGTGGAGTGAATATCATTTGTATGTATACGAGCCGGGGGAGAAGTATATAACCATTTAACCCAGGAAGTAAAAACTGGCTCAAATCCGAAGTTCTCAGGGGTTTTAAAAAGAAAACTCCACTCCACCTGATCAAATGCTTTTTCAGCGTCCAAGAAAATCATGACTTCAGGGGTGGAGTGATGGGAGGTGGTAAAGATAACGTTAAAAAGTTTATGAGTGTTCAAGAAGGTAAACCTTCCATGTACGAATCCTGTCAGTATCTGTAAAATGTTGAAACGGACTGACTTCACAACTCAGGATTTGTTAAGACATTGCAGGATGTGGAGAAAGCCCTCTCGTTTGATGACGATACTGAATTTCCTCTTTGGGTTAGTGCACTGTTTCTGCTTCATCATTACTGATGATGCATGCTGGTAAATGATTGAAGGCTTACAAACTTACTTTTTTGAATTTGTATTTTAAGAGTCTACTTAGTAGGTTGACCAGATGTCCTGTATTTCATCTTTGTTATAAGTGTCCTGATTTTTTTCTCTGTAATTATTTATCTGTCTCACATTTCAGATCACTTTTCTCATTGCTGGTACATGTGCATCATGCACACTCATACTGACAGTATGCTGTGTATGCATGCAGAGCACATGTAATCACTAATCCGATCAACTCTCTGTAAGAGTCTAGATGAAATCTACCCTGTCTTGTACCCTGTATGTACAGTCATAAGCAAAAGTTTGAACCCCTGCAGTAAGCTCACATCCTTTGTAGTTCCATAACCTTTGCACAAGCCACATGTTATGTTTTCAATAAGCAAATCCAGCAAATGAACAGTAATTGTGCATTTAAATGTGCAGAAGTGTGTTCTCTTGTTTCACTTCAAAAAACAACAACACGTAATTTGACACTTCAGCTCGCTAGTATGATATAAGTGTTCAGTGTATAGTACAATGTTTGAGAACATATCATGGCAAATTTAAGTTCACATTTGATCTGCTAGGCATTGTTAAAGTGCCCATATCACAGAAAAACAGAATTTTCCTCACTGTTTTGAAATGTGTATAAGATGCATAAACATTGTTTCTGAACTATTCACTCCCCACTCCATACAGTCCATATAAGGGAATTAATTGTTTTTATGATGTCACAAAAAACACTGTTTATAACTTCATACTAAAGTTATAAGTAGTGTTTGAACTTTCTGAACAGAGCACAGTACAGGACAGCCAATCAGAACATAGCTCATATACATATGTCTCCAAGAAACAGTGACAAAAACACGCTTGATTGTAAGAGATAAAGATAGGTTACAAAATAGTAATGGAAAAATGAATTCTCACAGTTTTTGTACATAAAATCACACAGAGTGTGATTTGAACTTTAACATATAACATAAAATCACACAGAGTGTGATTTTATGTTATATGTTATGTTATAAGTGGATCTTAGTGGACAACATAAAATGCAACAAAAATGTGGGAGATGGGCCCTTTAAGGGCTTTATTTCAGTTGAAACGTCAGACGAGTAAACTGTTATAGCAGTCAGAATGTGACCATGTTTAAAAAGAAAGAGTGTGTATAACATCTCCCCCACTTTCTAAATAAAAGGTGCTATTAAAATTGTTCTTTTCAGGGTGCAAATGCTGTCAGTGGGGTGGCACCCTCAAGTGTATGTCTGCAGGACCTTTATTTAGAGACCTTTATATCCATATACATTCACATGTATTTTACATATATTTTCCTCACTGTTTTGTCTGAGGTCCACTTTTAACACTTGTGTGTTTTTATGTACCAAAAATGATCAGAATTTGTTTCCACAAACCATTTTTCCACCTCTCTTTATTCTTTAGAACTATCCAGGCTTTTTTGGTTACTGTTAAACTTTGAAACTTCAGTAGTATTTACAAATTACTTCAACCCTCTTAAATTTAGTTTTTTTAATAATATGAGCTTTTTCAATTTCATAGATTTTTTAATTCAGTTGTTGAGATGCAAACAAAGTCATTTATAGTGGTTAGAAACAAGGGTTTGCAATGTTTACAATGCAACTGTAGACATTTCATTTACTACTGCTTTGCTCTGCATGTACCTCTCCACCATGATTATTTTTTTGGGACCAAAAGTCTGAGTGACTTAGAAATAGTGCAGAATTTCAAATATTTGTTCTTCATTCTGTCATAACTTTTCTTAATTTAAAAATTTTCTGTTTATTTTCAGGTTTGAATGAAAATAATACCAGATCTTTCAATGTGGTCTCAGACTTGTGGACTCCACTGTATGTTTCAGGCCTAAAATCTTTTTCATCAAACTGTAAGAAAACAATGGCTCAGGCATCAGGCAGCGTATTTATATCTATTTTGTGAAATAACTTTCTGTGATGTAGCTTTTAGAGGCATTAAACTCTTTTCTATGTCGAGTTCCTATCACCACCATTCTGACTTAGTAAGGTCCTCTAGAATGTAGCATTTGACATCAAACCACTCTTAATGACTTTGTTAATGTGTTAATGATTTCATTATTATTTTTCACTTTAAAAATCAGTGGATTTCCTTTTTTTAAGGACTGTTTTGTACCTTTGAAGGTAAACTTACATTACTTGTACCTGTACAGTGCCCTCTCTTTTGGCAGTGCATATGTAAAATTTGGTGTCTGATGAAAACGGCATAGTTAAATGTGTTTGACCCTTTCAGTCCCATATTGGCCAAAGGGATATCTGCTTTTTTGGCTTAGTAGTCTTGAGAATTAGTTAAGCATAAGTTCAGGTTTAATTGCCTGGAGAGGGAGCAAAAAAAGGAATAGCTAAGCTATTGTTAGGAATCAGACAGACTGTTAGTCATTTAGGGGAAGTTCATGCTGTCTGTCCTCACTAAGCATATTTAGGCAAATGGCATGGAAAGTTCACGCTGATATGGAAAAGTACACTACATTATGCAAAAGTGCTGTTAGACAAATACAAACCATTCCCTACATTACAATTCTTTTAAAAAACTGTTAATACTTTCTATCACAATTCAAGTCAAACTTGCAAAACAAACTAATTCTGTTATTCTGTTATATGATGTTTGGTGAGAATATTAGAACCATACTCACTTGGCACAGGACAATCGTTCAAACGCAGGTGTTTTGCCATCATGTGCCTTGCACTCCTTCTCAACTTTCTGAGCAAAGAATGCTTCAAGAGATAAAATCACATAAGAGAAGAATGTTGAGAGCTTTTTTCAAATCTTTGAAACATTAGTTTCAGAGACTTTTAAGTATAATAAGAAATTAAAGAACATTGATAATGCTATTCCTACCGTTTTGCACAACACTCAGCAGTGTGACCAGCACCAGTAAGAATATATTCTCCATCACCACCTCGTCCATCTTTTCTCGGTGCAAGTGCAGCAAGACTGTCCGTCAGAGCTGATCTGATGTTGGACTGATGATAGTCAGCCAATGGACGAGACAGGATATCTCTTATCAAACTCTCTGTGATGCATTTCCTGTTGTGATGAGACAGCCTCTTTCCTCTCTTTCACTCATTTGTATACTTTCCACTACAACCCCCACCCTGTTTTCAGTAATAGAAAGTGGTGTTGACAGTGTTTAAATTTGTCAAGGTCATTCTGAAATGCACTGGCTGTGGTGTGAAAAGCAGTTATATTTCTTCCCATGTTCCAAAAAAGGGTAATTAAAAAGTTGTTGGGGGTGTGGTGATGATCGAATGGAACATCTTCCTTTACTGAACACATTCTACTGAGAGGATTTTATTGAAAACCGTACAAAAAAGTTGTGAAACAGAATTCTCACATTAGTATCTGGTGTGAGAATAATTTCCCTGAAGCAAATCAAAAAATCAAATCTCTTTTTGTGCAATTATGTTTTTGACTTCTTTAAAGGTGGGCTTTAGAACCAACACATTTTGCTGAACCCCTATTTTAAATGTAGGCCCATCTTACGCTAGATGATGTGTACGCTATTTGTCCAGGCTGATCTATCACCCTGCAGAGTTTAATACCAACCTAACACACCTGATCCACACTAATGAAGACCTTCAGTATCTGATTATTACAGCCAGGTGTTGGTTTTCTGCAGCATGGTAGATCTGCAAGACCTAGGCATCTCTAATGTAGGGAATACAATCTTTATATTGTGGTTCTCAAACTGGTCCTCAAGGTCCAAACAAAAGTCTGATTCTTCACTAGTGTCCAAGAAGTGTCAGTGCCAGTGAAGCAGGCCATCATGAGGGTAAAAAAATGAGAAGAAATCAGACAGGTGAACATTAGATGTGTCAAACAGCTTCGAGCTTGAAAGCACTGATATGTGAAAGACTACCATCATTAGAGGAAAACACCAGTAAGACTTGGTTTACCACAAGATGCAAACCACTGTTAAGCCTGCAAGCACAGGAAATGCAGGTCAAAAATAATAAAGAAGTCTGCAGAGTTCTGGTACAAAGTCTTATAGACAGATGAGATGACGCTTAACCTTCATCATAGTGATATAAAGAGGGTAGTGTGTAAGAGGGTAAGCATGTACGGCTCATCTATTTTCACTGATGCAGAAGGTCAAATTCTTAGGTGTACAGAAGCATCCAAGTTGCTCAGGACTGGGTTTCCCAAAAGCGATGATTCTTTAATAGGACAGCAAGCATCACACTAAACACCCTCCCTGTTATCTTAACTGATAGGGAGGGTGTTTCACTTTTTTGCCCTGTAAAACTCTTGCTTAGGAGTTGCTTCAATAGTGAAAAAGAGAAACACCCTCTTTATCCGTTAAGAGTATCTTAACAGTAAGATGCTTTTGGGAAACTGGGCCCTGATGCAACCAAAGTAACTGGACAGTGTGTCACATTTTCACTATTTAAGCAACCCTTAAGCAAGAGTTTTACAGGGCAAAAAAGTTAAATGATCTTGACTGACCAAATCACTTCAGCTGAATCACAATGACCATTCATTTTAACTTACTGAGGACAAGACTGAAGGCAAAAAGCTCCAAAAACAAGAAGGAGTTGAAAATAATCTGCAGATCTCATATGATTTACAGACTTAATTTTGGTCCCCTAAAATAGGGGAAAACAAACAGTATAAGCAGGCCCTTGTGTAAAGATATAAAGCTCCAGATTAAAGCTGTCATTTTGAAAAATGTCAAAAATCGAGGGTTTGTTCAGACAACGACACAGACATTTCCAGGTACCGCCCTGAGCATTAGGCACAACAGGCAACTACCTAATTTGGGATAACTGTATTTGCATGTGTGGAAAACACCAGCAATGCTATCTGCTTTAGTGTGTTTCCTGGTTGTTATATGGATTTTCCTTGAAGTGCTTTGTTAAGGTAATCCCCTATGTTTTCCAAATTTTTTTAAATGTGACATTTCAACAAGCCCAAAAATGGTGTGTAAATACATGATACACTTCAGAGTTCCTCAGTGTAAAAATGTTTGTAAAAATGTCATTTCCCATTTATGCATTTAGACTTTTTCTACAATCTCTAAGCAGCATTTTTCAGTGCTGACTTCACTTTTTAAAACTATTCAAACTCCTCTTGGCAGAAACATGCAGCTCGGCACAACAGTTAATTTTACACCCTAAAGACTCTACAGCCATACACACATTGCAAAAAAGAATAAATTAATTCAATCAAAACATCAATGCTAGTATTCTTACAACAGGAAAAACTTTTCAATGACAGCACAGTCATTGCAAAAACACTAACAACTCTATATATTAAAGTAGATCCTCTTCTTTTGCTGATGTAAACAATACTGTAAAAGTGAAACAAGTTGATTTGAAGTGTTGCATTGTTTCATTGAAAGTTCATTTGAGTTGAATAAAATAGTTGAATTGATTGTTACCACATGAATTTTTTTTTTTTAGGTTAAACTGACAAAGCATTTTTAGAGTAAATGAAAAAACTCATTATGTCCAAATATACATTAAAAAACAATGGTATATCTATATTGTATGGAAACAAATGAAGTGACAAACTAAAAAATGCAGTACTCTACATTATTATTAAATGCTTACTCTACCTGTTCTGCATCATGTGGCCACGTCACACCTAATGTCCTCTCTTGCTAATACAAGTACAAAAAAGCACTTTCTTGTTATGTGCTGTGCCCACAATGGAGAGTCCATTAAGAACAAAAATCTCTAGAAGTGACCCCTTTTTTTTTATAGATGCTCAGAACATGGGCTGGGTTTTTGGGTTCTGATTCTTGTCTGTAACAGTATTTAGCAAACCTATATGCAGCATATTTTCATGTTTGGTTCTGGGGTTCAGTGTGACAGCTTTGTAACAGTGTATGCAAGCATTTTGCTGCTTTTGGAACAAAACCTTGTATTTCCATTTTTGTCATAATTTGAAAATTCCTGTTGAAAAGAAAAAAATATGAAGTTTTCTTCCGACAACGGTGATTAGCAAATTGCATTATAGAAATCTACAGTTTAGCAAAAGGCTGAGAATGAGTAAGAAGTGAATTAAATAATTTTAGACATTTTGGTCACTAAATGCATTCTGTATTCAAATAGGGAAACACTGTTCATAGTTTGGGCCAAACGAGTGCGGTTGTACTGAAAAGAAGTTCTCCGTAAAGAAAATGTGTGTTAGCAATTGTAAAAAACTGAATTAGAGTACAACACTGTAGCACTGAATGAGAGCGAATGTTTAAACTGTACAAGGACCATCTTATACCAGTGAGCAATCTTGTATCAACAGTCCTCCTATATGTAATGTCATAATGAAACTGGACATAATGGGCAGAACCTTACACACTGGACTATAAAATGGCACAATAAACACATCACATTTAGATATAGCAGACACTATCTTGCAGACATATAGTAAGACTCCTGACCAATTGAGTCCAGCTTCGAGTATGAGATCACTGTTTAAGTCTGGACTAGACTGGACTTGAATTTGATCAAATTAAATGAAGTGCTTCTAGATTTTTACATTTATCCCCCATAACTTCGTTATTATAAACAGGATAAATTAACAATGCCTCTAACTTTAGGTAGGGATTCCCACCTCTATCCTTTTGTCTTCATTATAGAACCTGTTAGAAGGAACAGCAGAACACAATTTACTTGTTCACACAATACACTTATAAGACTTGGGTGTACGCAAGATTCTATACTGATGACATCCTTCACATAACCTTCTTCCAGCTCTTAATACCATCTGAGATGTTTTAGAGTACTAAAAGAAACAACTAACAGCAACTAAAAATGTACTGCTAACCAGGGGCATAGCCAAGGGGTGGCAGGGGGTGGGCCACCCCGCTGGCCATCTGTTTTGCAAAGTGAGACAGTCAGCCATCATCAATAAAGCGGTCGCAAGAGAAAAGTTGTCCTCCCATCAGGGCAGTTACTGATCAGCTGTAAGAGTCTGATCACTCTGGACACTGTAACCAATACTGCTCGCTGTGATAAAATATTCTCCTGAGCAAACCAGTGAGAAAGATCTGTCATATGAGAAGGTACTTCTTACAGTGGCCCAGAGAGTCAAAACACAAAGGACAGGAACACAATAAACATTAAAGCTGTGGTAGGTAACCTATATAAAACAAGAACAACAACAAAAAATGGCATATTTGCTAAAACTGCTAAAAATGTCCTGACAGTAGTACATGAGACAGATAATCTGTGAAAAAAATCAGGCTCCTCTGGCTCCACCTAGTGCTCCTTAAGCCATTTGCAAGGATCCACTGCGACCAAATCAAAACAATCTGAGCCAGGAGGAGTGTCTGACGGAGTGTCAATAACTGCGTGTGCACGCGCTGTGGGCAGCACCACTTGCAGGTGCACCATCTCTGCCCACGCATGCTCTCACTTGGTCAAGCTCAGTGTCTTCAGTGAGTGGCCTCAGGAAAAGCAAATGCAATGGCGGTAAACAACCACCAGCAAGTAAAAACCTGCCTCTTTTGCCAATAAGAGCGTACACACCAATGACAAGTAAACAGAAGAAGACATGAAGCAAGCTAGTCCATGTTCTTGTGCTTGGCAGCCTCTTCTGGGTGAGGCTTTGGAGTCCACTCTCGTCAATCCTACTCAGTCCTACCGGGACTCTAAGGCACAACACAAAAATATTAAGAGGAAAACATATCTGTTTTGTGTCTGGATTCCATTTGCACTTTTTACTAAAATTGTTTCCCTCTACTACACGAGTGGATAAGCTTGGCTTACATGCTTTCATCAGTCCAGAGTCTAAGAGGCCTCTTGGTTTGGGGCGAACTTAAAAACTAGTTACACCTGGTATGCAGAACAATATTCTGGGTGGCATACAGTCAGTGAAGTGCCAACCTTATTGAGCCAGTGGTCTGATATATAGTTGCTATCTGGAATGTTGTTCTAATCTTTTGTTTGCTTCCTAAATGTTGTTGTGGTTTGACTCTTTGGGCCACTGTAATTTCTGCCCATCTTTGTCTTCATTCAGCCTCTAAAGTAGACACAGCATTTCATTCAGAATAGCACTGTGAAACAGCTGTTGTTTGCTGTTTGTCAGATATTTGCAAACTCTGCAATAAAAAACAGCACAGATTAGAATGCATTCCTTCTCACTGGTCTACGCTTGTTTATGCTGATCTGATGCTGGTTTAGCTGGTCACCCAGCATTGTGATGCTGGTTGTTCTGAATACCAGCATCCAAAACACAACGTATGGTAGTTTTTCTAGCAGGGAATATTCCCATTAAACCTCAATTTAAAGCTAAACATCCATGGTCACAGGATGTTGGCCAAAGGATGCTGTTGGCTGGTAGACTAATCTCAGTCCAGCAGTGACAGAGTTATTTATAAACTCCAGAAGTACTGCTGTTTCTGATCCACTCATATCAGCGCAACACATACCAACTCACCACCAAGAACAGGATGAAACGGTGCCAACAAAGTATGCAGAGAAACAGATGGACTACAGTCTGCAATAGTAGCATTACAAAGTGCACATATATGGTAAGTGGAGCTGATAAACATGGACAGATAATGTAGAAACAAGTAGGTGTACCTAACGAAGTGGCTACGCACCTAAGGTTTTCACTCACTTTCGCACCTGTGATGTGACAAACATTATTTGATTTGTACTATGTAAATCCCACATGTGCCTTTTGCTTTGCATTGAGCAGGATCTTTATCAGTGCCTAGACTGGGCTGCTTTATTGCTTTGCAGCCTTCTGCAAGTCATTCACTCCATGTTACAATGATTACCAGCCTCCCATAAAATGTGAGTTATACCCCTTGTGATCTTCTCAATCTGCCACTTTCTTGTATCTCAAACATTCTGAACATGCCCAAAACAATTTGCTGTCCCCGAGACCTTTTAAGGCATTAACCTTTGTCTTGTGGATTATATGTCCGAAATAACCTTACTGAGAAAACCTTACAGTACATAATTTGTAACTGGGTTGGCCAGAGGAAGATGAATTACATTTTAAGCCTTGGGCACTCCCTAGGCCTCTTCCTGATGCTGACTCAGGGAGTGGTGCCCTCAGTTCGCTCTTTTGGACTGTGTCACAGTACAGCTTTACAAATATCAATGTCTACTGTAAATTGAGCATGGCTAGAGAGCACCCTCTAGAGGCCAGACTAATAGAAGCATTGTGAATTTCCCTCAAAAGTCTCAATACACTCTTAAAAAGGGATGGCTCTTCAAGATTTTTTTTTCAGTAAAGACAATGGTTCTATATAGAACCATGAACCATTTGCATGCTCAATAGGTTCTTTGCATCATGAAATGGTTCTTCAGGTTGATGGAGAACGTGTTGTATATGGTCCTTTCATTCTGTATTGCACCAAAACGGTTCTTTTGTTACCAACTAGCAGAACCCTTTTTGGTGCTATATAGAACCATTTTCTTTACCCTTGAAGAACCATTTCTAAGAGTGTACTTACAGGTAGTACTGTAGATTCATGCACTGAACTGCTTCCAAACAATTCAAACTCCACACCTCAATGAAAAGGGCACGATTCACTTCACAAAAGACACACAAAACTCAAAAACTGTGCATTTCATATTCAGATAATATGACACAAATCTAAAGAAATCCCTAATTTATTATGCTTTACAAAATTGTACAAATCTATACAAACTTTACATGTACTTCAAGCATGCTTTGGACAGCAAATTAGAATTTTCTACATCAACTCAAATCAATCCAAACCACTAAAGTACTCTTCAAGTATGAAATATAAATGCTCTGAGAACAATGAGCCATGATTGAGGATAAAGTCTCCCTTTACAAATCCAACTATTTAACAAATGCAACCTCACCTCATTTGAATGGCTATACAGCAATGTGTACAAGGCCCTGATGTCAAATATAGAATATCGAAGAGACCACTTTCTGCTTTCATATAATCTAAAAAACAATCTAGTTAAGGGGTATCCGATCCTAGACTGGTTCCAGAACATGAAACCTGAGGACAAATCACAGTGATCAAAAGAACATGTCCAGTGCATTAAAATCAGTGTTCTCAATCACAGGTTGTTGCCCCCCTGATCCTGAGATGAGTTCATCAAGAAAGTCATCACTGGTGGAGGAAGGGTCATTCACAGGAGGCTCTGGGAGCATGAAGGCTGAAAAGTCTTCCTTGCTGTCCTGAGGCCTGCTGTCTGATGTTTCACCACCCTGACTGTTGGTTAGCATCTCCAGGAGGCCTGTGCTATCAGGTGATAGGTTGCTGCTGGTTGTAGCAGGAGACAGAAGCTCAGCAATGAAATTGTCATACCCTGGGCTGTCATAGACTGATGTGCTGGAGGTGACGGAGTATGGAGAGTTGAGATCAGTGCTGTCCGGTCTGGGAGCGAACTCTCCTTCAGATTTCCCCAGCAGCTGATTTAGCTTCGCCAGCTTCTTCTTCTTGGCCTTGAGCTTCTTCATCAGCTTCAGTCTCAGGACGTCAGTGGTTGACAAAGAAGGCCTGGCTGCTGACAGATCCATGGTTTTCTTACCAACTGACCTTATTATTTCAGATGCCTGAACAGGAGCAGTTGTGCCACCTGAATGAATTATAGGCTTTTGTGGAATTAGAACGGTGGGTTGAGCACCAGATAGCTTTGCCAACGGCTGCCTCAAAACTCCTCCTGGAAGAACAGGGTTTGGAGAAGTTTTGGCTCTAAAGCCACCAAAAAGGTCAGCAGGCTTAGCTGGAAGGGCCTCATTACCCTCACATCTTAAGTCAGGCTTTGGTTGTGGGGCAGTAATGGGTACTCTTGAAGGGGTAGACTGGAGCAAAGAATGCCTGTTCAATAAGAATGACAGGTTGGAGACACTAGGTTTGGAAGGGAAAAGGGTAGGAAGACGCTTGCTCAATTGAGGACGTTCTTCTGGCGCTGGAGCTGAAGTCTTCACTACAGAGGGTAGAATCATGTCTGGCACTACAGGTTTAGAGGAAACATGCTCAACATCACTTATCTTGTGTTTCGGAAGGGATGGAGATTGACAAACAGAGGTTTTCACTTGTAGTGCAGATGATTCAGTGACACTAGATTCAACAGGCTGTGTTACTGTTTCCTGAGGATTTGGAAGAGGCTTTCCCTCAACATCTACTTTCACTTCAACCAATGTGAGGGTGACTATATCACTATGAGAAAGTCCTTCAAATGTATCAAGTAGTGTTGTACTGCCTATGGAAGAATCCAAGCTACTGACAGCCTCATTCTTGTCTTCATTTACAGTCAAGGCCTCTAAGATACATGTGTCATTGGTTAGAGAATTTGTCACATCTTGTAAGCAGACACTCTTGTTGCTGTTCTCCACAATAGGGGTGTGCTCTTCAGGGACTGACTCAGGAAGTTGGGAATCATTTCTGGACTCTGCCTCCCAGAAGACAAGGTGGAACTGACTGGCTGGGAGTGTAAACCGCTTGTGGGTTACACAGTTAGGGTACTTTAAATCATCAAATTCTAGCCATGATCCTGAAGAAGAGACGGAACATTGAAACAGCATCACTTATCTAAGGTTCATTATTAAAAAAAAAGGAGAAAAAAACTTGTGCCATTAAAAGGTGTCTAGATAATTATTTTTTAGTGCTCTTATACAATAAGATGTCAAAGTGGCGTACTTCAAAATGCATCATTCATCAAATCAGCTTCATTAGATAAAAGGGTCATTAACTGAAATGCAAGGTTAACACTCACCATCAGGTTGTTGAATCCATGTGACAAAGTGCTCCAGTTGCTCACTGTACTGTATAATAGTCTTGATGGCATAGTGTGTGCCTTGGAAATCAAATGAGTATCGAGAGATATCCCTCCTTGGGAGACCCTCCACAAAGTGTAGAGCAAGCACAGGAGATAACCTAGGAAACAACGAAAAAAAAATAAAAATTTAAAATAACTTGTCTCTGACCACTTAAATAAAATACAAAAAGCTCATTACATAGAACAAATAAATTAATAAATAAGTTAAAAAAAAAAAAAACAATGTTAACATTTAGCATTAGTGTTGGTTACTTTTTGGGGGGCTTACACTCTTACCTCTGGAAAACCAATTTCCTCCTCTGCTTCTTATGACGGCAGTTACTACACTGTGCTCTGTGGACCGCTCTGAGGGGGTGCCAATCAGCTGTAAGCTGTGTAAATGTTGTTAGAGTCTTCTCCACACTGTAAAGAAAACATGCATGTATAAACACATTATTATTCAAGTGACTTTCAGTTGAATTCTGGAAAGTTTATGAAAGTTTAAAGTCTTTGCAACAAAAAAAAATTCTTCATATGATAGATGTACATATATGCTATTTTGCATCAGTATGCATAGACCGCAATCTATTGGAATTAATTTCTGAATATTAGATGTTTTTTTTTTTTAATAGCATGTCAAAAAGTGTCAACAATTATTTTTTTTTTAATCAATGTTGTCTTGTATTGAAGCCTTAATCTGAGGAGTATGCAAATCTGGTGATCACTGGCTAAAGTACCACATTGTAGGAAACAATCACACAAAGTAAATGACAAAGCAGACAAAAAAAAAAACAAGAGATACCTATATACAGTAATAATAGTAAATGAACTACCTGGTATTGAGAGTATAATGACAGGATGTGCACTTAAATTCCCATAGACCCGTATGCTGAAAGAGACTATGAGCCCACTCATCTGTGTTGAGGAGAAGGGGGAGGGCAAAGACAGGCGTCTCTTTCTGACCTGTACAACAGAAAAACAGACAAACACTAACACCAAGGACTGCAACATCTCATAATTCAAATCAAGCCAAAAGAGACAAATTAACCTCTTCAACTCCTTGAGACCACCAGTGGTTCCAAAACGCACTTCAGCATATTCTTCATAACGTTCATATTTCATAAGCTACATTCAAAAAATATTTTGTCATCTGACTATAAACAGATGGTGTCTCTTCAGTGATATACTCCGTAAAAATTATTTTTATAAAAAAATACAAAGAGCGTCTAAGATTTTTGGCTTTCAGCAGTAAATTGTAAGCATATAGCAATATGTGTATGATCATAAAGCACATGTTCTGTTAATCTGAGGGGAGTTTTTACCAAAAAAAAAAAAAATTATAATAAAATAAAAAATTTACATTTATTTCATGCAGTTACTGAATAATTTGCCTTACGATTTGGTCATGTAAATTCAGATGGAAAAAACAAAATATACTCTGGAGAATAAGAAGTAGTCCTGGACCAAATAATGTCAGTTATTAGTTATCCATCACTGTCTGATATCCAAATAGCACTGCAGTTCAATAGCAGACACAAACAGTCATGGCAAATCATATAGTGTAGAATGATGTTGATTCTAAAGATTTACTTGTATTTGTAGTGGAAGGTCTGTACAACAGCAGTGTATCATATACAAAGCATTAGTAATATTCTCTATGATAAAAACTATGTGGAAAACCGAGCATCATGTGAGCTTGTTAAACATCTCATCCAAAAACCATGCGCATTAATATGGAACCCCTTCGTCTTCCACTAGATTTCAGCACACGGATTTTTTTTTTGTTTTTTGGGCAACAAGGCCTGGATATTAGTGCCAGGTGTGTTGGATCTGAACTCCCGAAGACCAAGATAGAGTATCCACACTTTAGACGAGGGGTGTCCAATCCTGTCCGCAAAGGGCCGTTGTAGCTGCAGGTTTTCATTGCATCAAAGCAGAGCACACATGATCAGTTGTTTAAAGGCTGAGACTGACTGATTAAACGAGTGGAATCAGGTGTGCTCTTGAAAACCCACACCAGCCCTTTGCGGATAAGATCGTACATCCCTGCTCTAGACTAAAGGTGTCCAATTTTATTTGCAAAGGTCCAGTGTTTTTGCAGCTTTTCACTCCAACCAGGCAGGAGCACACATGCTCAGCTGTTTGAAGACTAAGATGAATTGATTACACAAGTGGAATCAGGTATACTTGTGCTTGTTTGGAATGAAAACCTGCAGCCACGCCAGCCCTCCGTAGATAAGACAGGGGACTTTTGGTCTAGGTAAATGTATGCTATAAAATTAAGATTTCCCTTCACTTTCAATTTAAGACAAGATAAAATGCAAATAAAAAACAGAAAGCAGTGATTTTTCTAAATCTAGTTTGACTAGTACATGAACAAAAACAGTGCAAATACACGTAATGTAATATCTTATCAACTTCACTGTTTTTTGTAAACGTATGCTCATTGTGACAAGCTTCAACAGGTTCCAAAAATTTAAGACTAGGAACATTGCTACAATGAATAAAAATGTATATTAAAACACACACATAGTGATGCAATTATGCTTTGTATTAAAGGAGCATCTAGGAAAGGCTTAAACCTTTAGAAGCAAGGATGGATTGAAACTCGCCACTTTACCAAATGCATCATAAAATAATCCAATAATTCTGCGCAGGTGCAAGGATTTTTAGGTATTTTACATTCTTAGCACATAGCAGCACCAAAAAAACTTAGAAATCCAGAGAAATCTCAGTATATATGGGCTCGGAGCTTCAGACTGTGCTATGCACAGTAGAAGTCATGTCGGCAGTGTCTCTAGACTCAAGCTCAGCTTAAATGGACTGATGCACAATGGAAATGTGTACTGTTTTCTGACGCATCAATCTTTCACATTTATATAAATAACAGACATTGTGTTCTCTGGGCCAAAGCAGAAAGGACCAGATTGTTACCACTGGAAAGTTCATTTTTTCATATTTGGAACAAGCATATCGCTGTTGTCGGAAGAAAACCTCAAATCAGCCCAGTTTTATCAAACCTACACTGGTTGCCAGTTAAATTTCACATCGATTACAAAATTCTTTTACTGACATATAAAGCTCTAAACAGACTCGCCCCTCAGTACCTAAGTGAACTTCTCATATATTATGAACCATCACACCTACTTAGATCACAAGGTGCTGGCTTACTATTAGTACCTAGAATTAATAAAGTTACATCAGGGGTAGAGCCTTCTCATACAAAGCCCCCAACTTTGGAATAATCTTCCAGTCAGTGTTTGGGACTCAGACACGGCCTCAGTCTTTAAGTCTAAGCTAAAAAGTTACTTGTTTAGTCTAGCCTTTGGTAATTAGTTTTTCCTGTTAGATAAAAGGTGCAGATCTGGGGGTTCACGGACATAGAGCATTATGGTAAACTGTGAGTGTTGGTGCGGTCGTCCCACTGCTCTCACACGTTCACTCAAGTTTGCTAAAGGTGGAGCGGAGGGGCGCTGACATCTCGGGGAGCCCTCATGTCTCTTACCTTTCTGGTTTCTCCTTTTTAGTTAGGCTGTAATAACTAGACCTGCCGGAGTCTGTGCTGCACTCTGTTAATACTGTAATCTGTGATCAGTCACTCTTGACAGAACTAACTCTGTGTTCTCCTTTTCTCTGCCGAGTCGAACAGCTGCTCATCCTGTGCGGTCTGATGCTGTTGCTTCTGCCTTGATCGGGTGCGCACTGTTTGCCAGCCTTCTGGACCGGTTTGACCACCATAGAGCTTCATGCTGTTCAATGCTGTGCAACCCTCACCCTCATGAACTGACCCTCCTGATGATGATGCTGCTGCTGTTGCATAAACTAAAACTAATCTAATTAACCATTGCTCTGCCCGTTTCCCCGTTTTGTACTATATTTTATACTAATGCTGTTTGCTATCCAGTGTCGACCAGAGGAGGATGGGTTTCCCCTTTTCAGTCTTGGTTCCTCTCAAGGTTTCTTCCTCTTGCTCTTAGGGAGCTTTTCCTTGCCACCGTCGCCACTGGCTTGCTCATGGGGGCTTGGACCTGGATTTTTCTGTAAAGCTGCTTTGTGACAACACCTGTTGTAAAAAGCGCTATATAAATAAACTTTGACTTTTGACTTGTGTCTCCATTTTTGTTGTTTTTCAGTTTTTGAAGTAATTTGAAAATACCTGTTACCCTTTACATTGTTCGTAAATTTCATGATGAATGGACTAAAAGAAATGACACATAGTGACTTGGAAAAAAGTCTGGTTCCATTACATTAAAAGTAAAGTAGATTTTTTCCTTCTCCTGTGAAGTTATCATTTTGGAGATTTGAGGATTTCTTCCGACAACAGCGATATATTTACAAAAACATTAAAGATCATAAGTGTTTTAATGCAGGCCAAACAAAACTTACTAATCACTGCTTTCTGTTTTTTACTCTTATTTCACATATCCCAACTTTTTTGGAATTGTATTTTATTGCCTGTTAAAAGAGTATAACATTTAGGGGTAACAAAGGCTAATTTAGGTTACATGCCAATAATTTTTAATACTACCATAAATTTTTGTATGTGCACAGTGTGACATCCTTTTAACTGATACAAAACTGAGTAAAAAAATCCTGCATGCAGTCTTAAATACACTATTTTTGTAAGATACTCTAAATAGCATGAAGTGTCTTACTTCTTTTTGTTGACTTTGAGCACACTTAGCCTTTACCAACAAACCTATGTGTGACTGCCAAGCATTTTTAGGTTGCCACTAGCTTAAATTGGGATGTAACTGTCTCCCCCAACCACGATCTGCTCCATTTACCTCTTGAGAAATGTTTTATTTTTTGGATCAGATGCATTAATATTGGCTAAGTAGAACGCAGCATGTTAGATTCAGGCTGGAACTAAACTGTAGGAAAAGGAAGAGGGTTGGTGACCACTGGCATAGAGGGATCTCTAATATGAGAATTCCAACAACTATCCACTTCCTTATCAATGCATCAAATTAACTTTATATGCCATTATGTCCCGTGAGTGAGTGGCCTTTAGGATATGCAGACCAAAGACAAAGTACATAACTAAGAAGTTAACCAGATGAAATCTCATCTTACCCAGTTCACACTGCAGCTTTGGCTGAAGGAGCTGAAAAACAGACAGCTGGAGGACTTCCAGCTCCTGCTCTGCTTTTCTCAGCACATCTAATGGGACATGCGCAACATTTCCTACTAGGATAAAAATAAAGCAAATGAACATGTCCACTATGTGGACTAATGCAGCACAAGGAAAACAAATTTCAAAATATGTCTGCTTACCTTGGCACTTTTGCTCCTTGGATTTAAGATATGAACAGGTCTTCCTGTACCTTGCGCACAGGTTCCCCACAGTACAATTTTTGCTGGACAAGTGGTCAGTCAGACTTACATTCTCACAAGGAGCTTTGCTGAATACGCTTAAGTGCACAAGCGCTACCAGCAATGAATCTAACCAACATAGATTGTCCTTATTTCTCCAGAATAAGTGTAACTGGGAAGGTACCATTTCTTTTAAATCCTGTGTAGCTACATGCAGCGGCACCTCTCCAGCCTCATCCTGAGTGCTGGATACGTAATCCTCAGTTTGCGCTGAATCAGACAATTCTGAGTCCTCATTGCTGGCAGTTGGGGCAGTGCATGTCTTCTTGACATCATTTCCAACCTCTCCCTTCTCCTCATGACCATTAGCAAACAGCTCCTCTTCAAATAACTCAGTGGACACCCTGCAATCACCGGGCTCAGACACATCACACTCTTCTTTTTTCTGCCGTTTTGGGGATGGATTAGGATCTTCAGAATCAGACAAGTGAGACTTCCTCTTAGAGGTCTTTATATCTTCTGCTGAGAAAAGGTGGGCACGAACATCCTCCAGTGGTCTGCTGACCAGAGGAAAAAGGCACTACACAGGCAAATGGAAAAATACATATTTGGAATGTTACTCACAGATGAATCTGCACAAAGAAGTACAAACCAGCTTTTGCTGTGTTAGTGAAGAGTATACAGTATCAACTGTGTGCTGAATGTCTTTGGGAATTTTTTTGCGTTTAATAAGCAATAGGCCTAGTTTCAAGCTAACTGGGGAAAAAAGCATTTATACGTTTATACATACATATATGCATACACACACACACACACACACACACATACATATAAATGAGCTAAAAGAAAAGAAGGCCAGCGCTAACATTTGATGTGACGTACCAGAGGACTGCTACAGAGCGTAATGTATTCTTTAAAGTTGATCGCGTATGAGCGAAGAGCACTGGTCTGTCCTTTCACAGAACACCAAGGGCAGTCTCCACTGACCTCTTCTCTGTCTTCAATCTTTGGAGAAAACAAAAAGGCAAACAAGACAGGATTAAAACTCAAACAGCAGCCAAAAACACATTGCTGGACAATGACATTAAAACAATCATCGCCACACTTGGCGAGTGAACGAGTATCAATATGGATTAGCCCGTCAGCACCACATCACTCTATCGAAAAGTGCTGTACAATATCCATCTATGACACTTTCGCCTTTTACTAGTACCTCTGTGTTGCTGCTACAGTTTGAGGACAAATTATCCCCAAGAAACCCTGCTGGAGGGTTCGCAAAAATGTTTTTTTTTTTCCAAACAAGACCCATTGCGAATAGGTTTCGAAATGAATTATCAGCTTTGCACATGTGACAGATGGGGAGAACCGAGTAACAACTGACTTTTCCCAAACACCCCGCCAGCGCCAGCGGCCCTGTGCCGCTGCTTTCACCGTTCATTGGCGCCGTGTCACCGTATGATCCAACGTGAGGTGCTGCAATCCTCCATGTGCTCCGCGTGTGCATGAGCCTGACCGGTAGGCTCACAGCCGCAGGCGCTGCAACGAGGCTGAGAGAGCGGTTAAAGTCGGGGGAGAGCAGGAGCTCGTATTCTAGTCTTTCAGAAACGAAGACATATCTGTAAAGACATAATAACGATAGCCATGAAACGAGAGCCAAAGCAGTCCTAAAGGCTAACACTGCTAAAGGTTGGGGAGCCCGGTGCTACACTGTACGGTCACTTAAACTTAAAGGGATCTAAGGACATAATGTATATGACAAAATACATTGCTGAAACATTTGCCGAAGACGACCTTTTTTCGAGAGTAGCACTCCCCAGAGCCTAACTGTTACACTTGCGGCTAAATGAACTAAAGGTAGCGGGTGGGCTACATTAGCTAACAAGCTAGCTAGCTTACTGGCTAGCTACCAGACTCTAAAAGAAAGTCTGCGTCTTTGAGGGACTAGTTAGATGGCTTATATTTGGTGCGGGTTAACTTTGCTTACAAGCACGAAACGATACCTTCGTACCTGGAAACTGACCGAGCCAGAAATAATGTTTAAATTTGTCTTCATTGATCCTCCGGATAGCTGCAGCCCGCCGGCAGGACAGTCCTCCATGTGTACGCTCGCCAACGTAAGATCAACGTTCGACATCCGGTTTTGCAACGCGACTGCACGAAAGGAGGATTCAAGCACCACCATGTGGATTTGATGTATATTGTAGGCACCCAAAACAATAAGGGAGGATCTACTCGAACAAAATAAGTAAATGAAACGTAAATTGCCACAAAAAAAAGATGAGATAGGGTATCATTTCAATTGTCAGTTTTAGTAAAAGTTTTTATTTTCAGGCTTAATTTTCGTTTCTTTTATCAGATCGTCAGGCTTCTTTTGATCAATTAAGCAATTCACTTACACCAAAAATGAAATGAAAACTGTCAAAACAGGAAATTAATAGCATCAGCTTGAGCAATTAAAGTCATTTAATTCATTATTTTTTAATGCTTGAGTTTGAATGGACAGGCTATAACTGTCTGCTCCAGATCCCCCCTCCCCCCCAAAAAATGTATGCAACATATAAGACACCATGCGCTTCTGTAAACTATGTTAGCGTGTGCCTGTATTGAGGGCTTGCAGACTGCTGCAGCTGCTCATCCAGTGAAACAATGGGTTAGGGGGGCTACTACTCCCCTTCAGGCTCCCCCTGCTGCTTATCTACTGCTGTCACTGTTGTCCCTAACAATATTCATTTGCATAATTTTCCCAAGAAATTCTCATTAACATGCAGGGGCCTCTCTTTTCTTCCATATATTTACTTATTTATTTGTTTAGCTGTGGTATGGAATTAATGTGATCAGTTACCCAGACTACTTTTTTTTACTGATTATTTCTGCACATATAACAACAAAGCTTGAAGAATCAAGTTATTTACAACAGTTGGTAGTTTTCATCTGTATAATAAAAATCAATGATGACATAAAAAACAATAAGAACAATGTTTAAAAGTGGTTATCATTTTACATACCCTAATCTATTATCTATATTCACAGACTGATGGCAGACAATGAGATACGCAGACACACATACAGATATAGACAACCAGTCAGCCTGATGGACAGCCAAATGCTGTATACATACAAATTCACAGATTTATTGACATTCAATCACATGTTATACTGTATAGCCATCTTTGGAATTCATTCATTATTATTGACAATCAATCACATATTATACTGTATTATTATCATTCCCCATTTAGATGGTACATGCAATTTTCATCAGTGAACACACTAAATGAGTAAATGTGGAGTAGATAACAAACTTTAACAGAATACCCCATAGTTAATGTATTCCCTCAATAAAAAAGTAGATCTCCTCTATACCTTCTGCTGAATCTAAATACACGAGCCAGCAGAGACTAAAGCAAATGTAAGGATTTTGAAATGGTTGAAATTAGTTTAACACATAAAGCGAGCAAGCATTGGTTCCAATCAACTAATATTTTTCTCAATAAAGAATGCCTAATTTCATGGGACATCATTTATATTTTGTGCATCTGTCCAGTTAACTGCATGAGGGGCCTAAAACACTGTCCCAAAATGTATTGTCACCTTGTCTTGTGCATATTTGAGATTCCTTCATTTGAAAACGCCTTTGGTGCCTTTACGTTGAGCATTTGAAATATGTGATATAAAATCATTTGAACTATAATTGCATACAATGTTAAAATTAACTTAAGGATGTACAGAGAATGAGTTAAGAGGGGCATCAGCTTTGATAAGATCCGATTCATGCAGTATTTTGGATCACGCTACAGCGCTCTCTACCATGCTCCACACAGACCCGCTGTTCAGTGCTCCGTGTGGCACTCATGGAAGTCAGTAATACTATAGCTTACACAGTGCACACTATCTACCAACAGACTGCTTCAAGTTCAGCAGAGAAACACGGCGCAGTTTGTATTAACCCGCCATTTAAAACACTCGTGACGTTTCACAAAAGACGGCGAATCAGAGGGGGTCTGTTATTAGGACAATGGAAAGTTTTTGACCAATCAGCGAAACGTTCGGCTTGGCGGTAGCCAATAGACTGCGAGCCCTACTAAGAGTAATGTTACAGAGCCGAGAGCAGAGTGAGAAGACTGCGTATCGCTATTACCTCCACACAGCCATTGCAGTGCATTGAGAATCAGCGCCAGCCTTCGGTAAGTGTCAGCTGTAGAAATTTTGAAGTGTAGGTAAGTACAAAATCGCTAGGATAACACAGTAAATCCTATTTAAATTTTAAAAAACCCTCTAATGTCGACATTTTACGTATTTAAAATTTTATGAAACCTTAAAAACGTAGAAATTAGCCTGGGCATTATCCTCTCATTGAAATGAGTATATCCTTAGCTGGCTTTAATTTTCCCTGTGATAAAAATAAATAACATTTTGGGTCATCCTGATGAAATTAAGTTCTTAATGGGCATTTTTTCCCATTTGCTAAGAGTATCCGTTAAACATAAGGTTCGGCGCAAAACTGGGTGACGGAATTGCGTACAAACAAGGTCTATGGACGGTATTACTGGCAGCTAGCTCGCTAGCAAGTCAACGTTAGCTGGCTAGCTAGCCATTGCAGTGCATAGCAAGGGATGTCTGATGTGAAGACACTGGGTTGTGAGAAATAAATAGCAAGAAAAAAACGGACTGAGGAAAAAAATGAGGTGATTTGTAAATTGGATGTGTATTTCTTTGTGTGGTCGGTTTTTCTGTAATGACGAAATTGATGAAAAAATTACCTCAGGATCTGCGCTTTACTGTAATGGCTGACTGTACTCGCATAGGAAACAAGGCGAAGCCACAGAGCCTGTGACAAGCGCAGTTCACTTCAACTTTTTCAAACCGTGTTTTCTATTCTTGTTGACCCTGAACCGGGATATATTTCGCCAGAAAATAAATATTCCATCTTTCGTCGTTGCAAAGAATGCGTTTTTTTATTTTTCGGTGCATCAGAATGTTGTTAAATTCTTAGTTAAAGTGAGGTGGGTACCGCGGTCGCTCTGCCCCCTATTGCATGCAGTGTAATGGCTGAGCATTGACACAAAGAGAAGGAGCCATATTCTCAGTGTTAGTGGATGAAGACAAGCGGCCATTCCGAGCCCACAGCAAACTCTACACAGCCCGTACATAGACTTAGTACAGACCTAGTGTATTACTATACACCGGGGCGAGTGCATAGGGTTTTCCGAAGGAGAAAATTGTCAAGAACATTGACTTTCGCAATTTATTTGTCGAGTTAAAAAGCGAACAGGAAGGCGGGTGGAGACATTTTAGGAGGACTTTCTTTCATGAAGAAGGCTTTCTCACAAAATGGAAGGAGAAATATTGCTGTCGTTGTTGACCCCCTTTCCCTCAACAAGACAGCTTGTGCGCCATTGCTATGTATGAGTACATAGAAGAAATCGCTCTTTTCAACGGACAGTATATTCGATTTTTTTTGCATTTTTAACCGTTTTTCACCACTTGTACGATGTTAAGCATAGATTATCACGTTAAATAATCTTGATCAATTCGGTTGTTTTCGCTCTTATTACATATTTCCAACTTCTGTTCCTACTTTTATACGATTTTTATATTTATTTAAAATTTCTTTTTATTGTAACTTTTAACGTTTTAGCAACATTATTATTTAACTTTAAGCTAAATCGTGATGGTAAACAACTGATCTGTTTCCATCAAGTTGTGTAATTTACTGGGGGAAAATGCCTGAAATACTGCGATCACCTCAGGCATCTGATGTGCTCAAACGTGAAGCATTCAGTGTACGAAGAACTAAATGTGGAGCGTCAGAGTCTTGAGTCGTGTACGGGCGAGTGATAAGCGGCGATTTTTAATACTCTGTTTGCTCCGTTGTAGGGACATCTTCAAGATGGGGAAGGACCCAGCAAAACCAAGAGGAAAAATGTCCTCTTATGCCTATTTTGTCCAGACCTGCAGAGAGGAACACAAGAAGAAACACCCTGACACGTCGGTTAACTTCTCAGAGTTCTCTAAAAAGTGCTCTGAGCGATGGAAGGTAGATAAGTGCTAGTCTTTAAATACATTTTTTTTCTTTCATTGTTTTGTTGCAAAAAATCGTTCCTGTTCTGTTCAGACTATGTCAGCCAAGGAAAAGGGCAAGTTTGAGGAGATGGCCAGACTTGACAAGGCACGTTACGAGAGGGAGATGAAGAACTACGTTCCTCCCAAAGGCGAGAAGAAGAAGAGGTTTAAGGACCCCAATGCCCCCAAGAGACCCCCGTAAGAATTTTGATTATTTTCAGTTTAGCCTAGATGGACCACATACGTGATGGCATCAGTGCATTTGATTATGATGTCAACTATTCGAAGAATGCCAAAACAACAAAATTTTTCCACGTTTCTCTATTAGGTCGGCCTTTTTCATTTTCTGTTCGGAATATCGGCCCAAGGTGAAGGAGGAGACCCCTGGTCTGTCTATTGGAGATGTGGCCAAGAAGCTTGGAGAGATGTGGAATAAGACCTCTGCTGAAGAGAAGCAGCCTTATGAGAAGAAGGCAGCCAAGCTGAAGGAGAAATATGAGAAGGTATGGGAGGACATCACTTACAGGCGTATTGCATTAACAGATTAATTTATTTATTGCTTTTTCTGGTGAAAGACATTGTACTGCTACATTAGTATATGTTCAGGAGATCCTGCACTTTTTGAGATTAACCCAGTTTCGGCTCTGCTTTAAGGATATTGCAGCATACCGAAAGGGAAAAGTTGTGGGGGGTGCTGCAAAAGCCCCAACCAAGCCAGACAAAGCCGATGATGATGATGATGACGATGACGACGAGGAAGACGATGATGATGAGGAAGAGGAGGAGGATGATGAGTAAAAATTGGTTACAGAGTAGAGCTTAGCTTCTTGTTTATAAAGCATTTAACCCCCCTGTACACACTTATCTGAGGCCATAAAATGGGTAAATAAGGAAAACTAAAGGAAAAAAAACAATTAAGGCAGTGTATATCATATGGTTTTTAAGCTGTACAGTTTTTCTTTTTTCCCGTTTTTGTATAGTAACACTACAAAAGTGTCATCTGTGTTTGTTCGTATTCCCCCAACTCTGATTTAATTTCTCCCCCTTTTTTTTCTTTCCTTCTTCTTCTTTAATTTTTTTTTTTGTTGTTGTTTTTTGTTTGTAATACCCCTTTAGGTAGTTCCTAAGCCACTGTCCTTGTCCAGTACAGTTTAAGGGGGTTGAAAAAAAAATTGGCTTGGCGTTGATGGAGTTTTAGAGGTGTGCAGCACACAACCTAGTTTAATGTGAGGTTGTAGTTCATATCTTAATGTATTTCTTTTGTTTATTTTTTTCACATCACTATCATTAGTAAATTGCCGTATCATACAGTTATTTTACTGTACTTTGAATACCACTGTAATTGCCACAATGATTAAAAAAAGAAGAAAAAATGCATTTGTTTCATTGACATTCTGGTATGCTTCTGACATCAATAAACTTTTTTTTTTTTAATAAAATGTATTTCTTTGTTGTAAATCCAATTGAGATGGGTGTGGGAAGCTTAAAAGACATGCCATAACAAAAATAACGCAAGTTTAAATTTGTGTTTTCGTGGATATATTGTCATGTTGAAGTCAATGGTATTGGATATTATGGGTAATGGAGGTCACAGTGTGGTAAAATGTATCTGAACTGCAACCCAAACACAGGTATGTATTTTCATTATATACCTTTATTGTGGCTTCTTTCTGTATGGGAAAAATATCTTCCCCAGTACCACAGTGGATGATGATGGCTATGGTTACTAATATTGTATATGTTGTTTTGGTTAAACCCAGATTTGTTTCATAAAGCGGAAAAAAACAAGGCCTAAATCTATATTAATCCGAAAAACCCAGCCCACCTGCTGTTCATGTCTTCAAACTGTAGGCATTAAAAGCATGTATTGCCATCTAGTGGTATTTCATGGTCAAATCAAAACAATGTAACACCAGGTTGTTGTCAATCTTGGCGTTATTTCTTCAAGTATATGATTCGTCCATGCACTTTATGTAGTGTAAACAGACAAATGTTCTGTGATGACTAGTAAACCAAAAAAAAGGGTGCTTTTCACGTACTTTTAGTAGAGCAAACGCCCTTTCAGCAGTGGAACATCCTCTGTCCATAAAGTGGTTGGGGAGTTGGCTTACAGGATTTATTCCATTCATAATCATATGGTGTGTCTGCTTAAATTGGCACCCGTAGCAGAAACCAAAGAAAAAACCGACATCATAGTTAAAACAGATCCACAACTTTATTCTATATTTATTACCAATATTTATCAGTGAAAATGACCGTTTCTACTGTAAAATAATTTATACATGAAGAAAAGTCCAGGTGTGCGAGGGGGTGCCTGCTTTCTGTTGTATCCTCAGTCGCAGTAGAGTAAATTTACGTGGGAGAGGTACACATCGCCTCTGCAATAAGATAGGGCAAAGACAGGCCAAAACAGTTACAGGTAAACACATTTTGCATATTCAACAAGAAACCTGATTAACACAACACTTTTAATTAAAAATTTAAAAACACAAAATAGGCTTAGGAACCAACCGAGCGGCATAGTCATAGAACGTTGCCCCGGTTTCTCCGAAGCGCCGCCTCTTTCATATGCCTTTCGTCATTCGGCGTCTCTCCGCCGCCATGGTAACATTAGTGCGCGAAGATCTGTGGCTAAGACGGTCAAAAAGAATAGATACAAGGTAAAACCTCAAAAATGTTAACGTTATGCGAGTATATAATTGCATGCAGTATTAGACTTTAATTCTGTATGTCTTTTTAATAATCGTAAAGCAAATTTTAGTCTCCTTTTTTTGTTACCACGCGAATCTCTGTTGCCTTCGGTGGCCTACGTCTGGGGCGTATTTCACAAGTGCCTTATGGGAATTGTTGTTCCATTAACCGAAGTAACACTAAATTGTCTTGTAGATCTGGGCGGATTAAACTACAAATCCCTAGTCAGTCATAGTAACGGTAAAAAAAAAGCAAGCGCTTAAAAATGTCTTGTAACCATTGTCTGATATTTGGTTTGATTCGGATCTTGCTTTTCAGCTGTACCTTATACGTCGTTTTGTCTGTCTAGTGGCTGTAAATGCTCGTTTTAAATAAATCCAGATTACTATCATATAGCATAGCTCTTTTGATGTCACTTGATGTCTTTGATATCTTTTGAGGTTCTGATTAACTACTGCTGTGCTGTTATTCAGTAGTCCAACTGGAGGCAATCTGTGCTGAAGTGATGTTCGAATATATAACCTCTATAGCCTAATTAATGTCTCTGTTATTTTAACTTGCAAGGACTTTTTGACTCCTATGGCATATCTTCAGTCAGCAACATCAGCAGAAGCACCTTCAATCCAGCAACTGTAATGTAATTCTGAGCTCTCAGATTGGACCCCCCCCCCAGTGCAAATTCACCTTTACACATTTTTACATGATGAATTTGGCAGAGGTTTGTGACAATGCTAAAAAGGGAAGAGAATATGCATTGCTTGGGAACTATGACTCTTCCATGGTATACTACCAGGGAGTTATACAGCAGATCCACAAGCATTGTCAGTCTCTAAGAGATCCTGCACTGAAGGTCAAGTGGCAGCAGGTAAGCCTCAGAAAGTAGAGAGTTACATCCTTAGTTTGTATAGACATGTGTATGATGGAAGTTATTTATACATTTTCTAAAGACAATTCCAGTGATTTCAGGTATTCTTGTGACTTGAGAAACAATGGGACAGTGAGCATAATGTTATCTGCTGAATGCAGGTAAGGCAGGAGCTGGTGGAGGAGTATGAACAGGTCAGAAGCATTGTAAACACTCTGGAGAGTTTTAAGGTGGATAAGCCAGTTGACCTTCCCAATCCTCAACCAGAAGAATGCCCAAGGGACCCTGCTGTCTGGCCACCCCCTGTTCCAGCTGAACACAGGTACATCGTTATGTTGGTTCCTGCTGTAGTTAGTTCTTTTGTTGTGTTGGTCAATGAAATCAACAAAAGGGTTGTTCATGAGGATTTTCATTTTATGAAGAATGCCCGGTATTCTTCTGTTTTTTCAGTTACTAAAAATAGTGTTTTGGCTGGCAGATATGTGCAAGGAAGTGTAGGTTGACACATTGGTGGCATGGTGCTAGTCGTGACATTGGTTTAAAGTGTAATGTACATTGTTAAAAATATATTACTAAAAAATACTGTTAATATGTACACTAAGAAGTAAAAAGTAGAACAGGACAGAAGTTGATTTAAAATGTTTGTGAGAATTGCATTAATGAAAGATATTGCTTTTCATTTTCTGAAGTATAATTTTTCTTTGCTTTGTTTCAGTCAAAGTGTTTATTTGACTTGATTAAACTAGTTAAACTGCGTGTTACCACATTAAGTAAATGTTTTAGGTTCAACTGACTTCTAGATTGTAGGATTCAGTATGTAGAATTGAATGTGTGTGTGTGTGTTCACTGACTATTTAATACATTGATGTATGATAAGCAGTGGTTTGGTAACAGTATAACTCAGTATAGTTAGACCAGTTAACTACATTGAATTGAACTGAATTGGTTTGAATTCAATTGAAATAAAAAAAATCCCCATTTCCCTCTTTGGACTCCTAGAGCACCTGCCCAGGTGAAGAGGCCAAACACTGGTGTGAAACCCCAACGCAAGGACTCACCTGGGATGCAGCCCCGTGGGCCTGCAGGGAAAGGCCAGCCTAATGCTAAATCAGATAAACCCGGTGCCCGTGATGCCCGTGCAGCCAAAGCTAAAGAAGACAAAGTGAGTGTAAATCTTGTTTAGGGAAGTATGCCTTAGATTGGTGTTGTGATCACAGCCATTTCAGTTATAAATGAAAAAAAAAAAGAATTTCCAAAGGAAACAGATTTAATTTCTAAGTGGAAATCCACAGGATTCCTCACTAGAAATGTCTAGGGATTGGCAAGGTTCACCTTCCGACTCCAACCTTGCTTAAATGCAAGAAAACAAAGGTTATAAATGTTTATTTTGGCCTTTACCCTAGTATCAAACTCAACCAGTAAAAAGGCTATATTAAAAAATCTCATCAAATCTGTGGGCTGTCTGTTGTGCTGTAGCCTGAACTGGCCATTGCTTATTTAAAATATGCAAAAATTTTAACAATAAAATAGAGACACTTGTAGTAGACCTTGAAATATTACACGGACGCTTGAAATATTTAAATTTAAATGTCCCCAGGTACTCGGCCTTTTAAAACTACCTACTGCAGCTGAAATTCATTTTGGTGATATGACTGGTGTGGAACTGCGTAGAATTGGAACCGCAGTCCCATAGAATGTTGTAGAGGTAGGAGAATCGGAGTGCACAGTACATTGCAGTGCATGCTGGGGACTGTAGTGTAGCACATGTGAAAGGGGCTAATATGAGGCCGTGGGAATTGTGTTTGACACATGGGCCTTAGTGTAACTTCTGAATGTATCTCCCAGTACAACATCCCCTATTTCTGTCCCCAAATCCCACCTTACACTGTCTTTTACTTTCTTGGGGAAATGTACAGCCTCGAAAGTAATTTTCAGTCATCATTTGTTTTTTATATTTTAATTTGTTAATGTATTGTGGAAATTGTGCTTTACCATAATCAAAAGTTCATAATTTCAGCTGTATTTTGACCCATCAAACAATATTTTGAGTCCAACTGCACAATAGCAAGCTAGAAAACACCTAACACCCAATTTTACTTCAAAACAAATGTTGGGACATTAATCGAAATGCATACACGTTAAAACCAGAGATCTACAACTTACCATCCAACGTACTTGACTCTAAATTTCATTAACATTCTGAAAGACAAGGAAAGTTAGAAATCCTGAATATTGAGTTGAATAAATCTGACAAAAAATATAATCTCTTGATAGTAAAGATTAGAGATTGACTGAAATTTCTAGAATCAAGTGTGAAAAATGTTGAAGTGGTAAAAAGAGATGAAGTTTTTAAGACCTGCCACGCTCAGGTCATCCAAAAGTGACCATCCAACAATCCTGGTTAAACATCAGTTGTGCAAACTCTCCTTCACTCTCCAATCTCTCTGCACTTCAAGCTGTCATCCAAAAGAAGGGATATGCATCACAATACTAACCAAAATAAAATACAAATACTGACCTATACAAAAGAAAGAAACACTAATGTTTATCCTGCTGAGGTTTCAGTACTTTTACCTGCCTTACTCAAGTTTTCGGTTAATTACTTGGATCATTTTTGAGTTATACTTAATAAATGTGATTAATTAATTAATTTATTGCTGGTCGTTAAAACAATTCTGATGGATATTAATAAATAGATGCTACATTTATAAATAAAGTAGTAAACAAGCAAGATATAAATAAGCATTTGTGTGTCTCCTTAGGGCAAGAAGGGGGTCCAAGAGGGGGCAGGGGACGGAGAGTTGAAGAAATTTGACGGTACAGGTTACGACAGTGACTTGGTTGAAGCCCTGGAGAGAGACATTGTGTCAAGAAATCCCAACATCCACTGGTAAATACTGAAGTTTGTATCCTCTTATATTAGGGCTTCACTGATATGAACAATTTTGGTTTATATTTATACTGATTTCAGTGAACTAAGAATTCTGAGATTCTGAGAAGCTCGGCTGACATAATTTTATGTTTATATTCTAGACTTTAATTTTATACTTCAATAGCTTTAGAGTATGTGCTTTATGTACAGATATTATTGTCAGTTCTCATTTGGCACATTTCTTTGGCCAAGTTCACTTTACATACCTTACAACTCATTTTTTTTTTTGCTCATATGTGATCTTTCTGCCTCTTTGGTGTGAATGTACCTGTGTTCAGAAACAAACCTCACATGCTCATCCTAATCGATTCATCCGAATGATTACCATACGTCATGAACAACAACAACAATGAATAACCAAACGAACAGCACAAGCCTTCATCATAAACAGCATTAGCTCTGATCAGCTCTCAGTTCTTCAAGATTAGCAGAGAATGTGAAAGGCTGAAACTTTTTAATACTTAAAAAAAGAATTCCAGTCTGACCGTTGTCATTAAGGCTGCATAGCCACGCCATGAAAAACCATATAAAAACATGTATCTCCAAAATAGTAATTTTACAGGAGAAGGCAAAAACATTCTTAACCTTTAATTTAAGTTAATGTAAAGAGGTTTTATTCTATGTTATTTTGGAGTATTTCAATTTATTATCTATTTATCTATCCTTTCACACAAAAGGACATGCTGTCATGTTCAAATGATGTAGAAAATGGACACTGTGCAAAATGTAAATAAAACCATAATGATGTGCAAATCATTTAAACCCTATATTTGATAGGGGCAACAAAAGACTTGTGTAAAGTTGTGTAATGCTAAAAAAAAGCACCTGGTTGAACATCTAACAACTAATTAGGTTCGTTGGCAATTGGTCAGTAACATGATTGGGTATAAAAGAGTATCCCAGAGAGGCTGAGTCTTTCAGAAGTAAAGATGTGGAGGGGTTCACCACTCTGAGAAAGCCTGTGTGAGCAAAGTGCAACAATTCAAGAATAACAAATTATAATACAGGGTGGTCCAGTCTCATCCGCAGCTGCAGGTATTCACTCCAATAAAGCAAGAGGTCACCTGATAAAATGTTTGAAGACTAAGATCAACTGATTAAACTAGTAGAGTCAGATGTGCTGCAGCTTGTTTGAAGTGAAAACCTGCAGCCACACTGGCCCTTTGCGGAGAAGATTGAACTCCCTTGTGTAATAGCAATGAACTGAGAATTTATCGTCTTTGGTACATAATATCATTAAAAGATTTCGAGAATCCAGAGAAATCTCTGTATGCAAAGGACAAAACCAATATTGGATGGCTGTGATCTTTGGGCTCCAAGGTGGCACTGCACTGAAAACAGACAAAACTCTGTAGTTGAAATTAGTGCAGGGACTCAAGAAGACCACAGTTTATCGCTGCATCCACAAATGCAAGTTCAAACTCTACCATTGCAAAGAAGAATAATAATACTGAACGACATATACAGATTTTGGAGCAACATATGCTGCCATCTAGGTGATGTCTTTTTCAGGAAAGGCCTTGTTTCTGCACGTATTATAACAGCATGGCTTCATAGTAAAAGAGTCTGGGTGCTAAACTGGCCTGACTGTGGTCTAGACCTGTCACCTGTCACATTCAATAGAGTCTGGCTGCAGACATGCACTCTCAGCCAGATGCACTCTCAGCCCCAGTGACGTCACGTGCACACGCACTCTCTGCCACAATGGCAGAAGCAGCCCAACAACACGGTATCTTTTGGCTGCTGCTGCTTAGCGATATCATCACTTAATCCATTTTTGTCCATAACTTGGCTAGAGAGTTACATTTAATGTACCTCCCTGTTGAAAAAAAACCCTAAAAGTGTCTGTTGGTTCCTGGTGGTTTTCAGTCACTAATGGTATTCTGTGTTTTCCTGATGGACTGATATCACAGTGTAAAGGATTCTGATCGTTTAATCAGGTCTTCTGGGACTGATTCCACATACATTAGATCGTTTCCTAATGGCCTCTAACGGTAACCATCAAGGCAAGTCCCGTTAGGAAGCAAAACCATCAGGTTTTATTTCTGACGGCCCTGCAAACACAGTTACGCTGTGACAACGTACTGTTTTGGTGCCCACAGCATTGTCTGCTTGGTGCTCTCTACGTTGTCACTCCTGAAATGTAATTCCTCAGAAAATTATGACAACGTGGTCTGACAACTTTCTAGGAGGTTGTTTAATAGTAAGTTCTATTTTAATCAATATTACAGTTTTTGATAACCGGTTCTAATCGTCTTCAGCATGGCTTTCATGAGTTTCAACAGTAGCCTTTTTGTTTTTTCTACGATTAAACACGACATTATGTCTTATCGTGGTTTTATTTTGAAAGTTTCCATATTTAATTACCGTATTATCAGTATGGCAACACTAATATACATTCAGTGTAACTGTCCAGCAGTACGTGTTTCGCTGTTTTTCCTAATGAAACAGACAAAAACACTGTCGTGGCAGAGCGTGCACTGACGTCATCAATAGGCTGGCATTGCATGTCAGGCTGAGAGCGCATGTCTGCAGCCAGACCCTTCTTGTCACATTTGGCACATTATGAAGTGAAAAATATGACAAAGGAGATCCCGAAATCTTGAGCAGCTGAAATGCTACATCAAGCAGAAATAGGAAGATTTTTCACTGTCAAAACTACAGTAATTGGTTTCCTCGGTTCCCAAATGCTTACAGCGGTAAACATGTGGTAAACATGCCCCTGTCCCAACTTCTTTTGAAACGTGTTGCCGGCATCAAATATAAAATTGGGCATATATTTAAAAAAAAATTCAGTATAATTTCTCTGTTTCAATATTTGATGTCTTTGTATTAATTTCAATTAAATATAAGGTTTAAATGATTTGCACATCATTGCCTTCTGTTTTTATTTACATTTTGCACAGCATCCCAACTTTTTTGGAAATGGGGTTGTAAAAAAAAAATAATAATAATAATAATAAAACTGACCTGCATGTGCAAAAGGATACCGAATGTTAATAGGCTCTAACATGACATTGAACTTTTAATATGTGCGAACTGATACTTTAAACTCAGAAGACGAACAACAGACACCAAAATGACCACGCTGGACAAGGACAGCAGTAAAAACTGTGAATTTCTCTGCTTATTTGTTTGTGGAAGCCGACCAAACAGAGAAAGGAAAGCACATTTTGTTTTGTTTACCTGCCGTGAGGAACAATGCTAGCAAAGGTGCCCAAACACAGTGCCGAAAAAGGGATAAAGAGACTAGATATAGGCGAGGCCTTTTCAATAGCTGTTAGTTTGATATCTTTCATTTGAAAGCGCCATGCTTATTAGTTTAGTCTGCTTTTGCTTGTCTGTTTCATCCTCCAGAGTAAAGAAGAGGCAAACTGCAAACATAATAGCAGGCGTTATCATAAAGGGTCTGTTCCATGGAACAAAGTTATGATGAAAGTTGAGTTGGATTTATGCTGACTTTTTAGACTGAGGTCACAGTGCTACGTATCAGATATGTATCAGATTTCAGTACATTTGTTTTAGTGCCCTTATTCATCAAAGAGCCTAGATTTGACCACCTTTAAAGATGTATGAACTACCCTGTGCCTGACTCATGAAACATTGTTACAACGCGCAAACGAGCAGAGATTTGTGCAAATAATGAATCAGCTTCAGAGTGTGAAATTAAGCCCCAGCCTAGCCAGTTCATACCACTGTGCATGTAAAATACGTACATCCACTTTTATATTGGATTGCCATGCAGTTTGTAGCAAATCAGGCATTTTTTTGAGCTCAAACACCTCTACCAGATGTGATTGTGGGTACATTCTGATGTGGGTTCATTCTTTTATTTATTTTTTTTGTTCAGAATGATCAGTTCTCATTAGTACCAGTGTCTCATTTACATATAATTTATATGAGGCAGGCCCTAATTCTTTCAGATGTTTCATAGAGACTGATAAAACAAGAACATTCAGCAGCTTGTTAGCCTTTAGCTGTGCTTGTAGGTGGAGTTAAGAGGTCAAGTAGTGAGTGCACTGCTCCCCCTACTGACCAAACTTTAAAGAACAAAATGTAAAATAAACAACATCTTGAGTTTTTTCCAGATGTCAGGGTGATGTGATTGTGTGAAGAGATTTTTATAAAATAACATATTTAAATGCCATGTTATTGCATTTGAATATTGTATTATTAGATACCCCTGCACTAGCTGTGTTTTGTATTTTTGATTTTTTGGGTGGTGTCACTCACATAAAGCAAAAGCACATTGTAATGTATAAAATTTTCAAATGGGTCATGGAATAGTTGCAGCACTTGTTTATACCACTGCATGTGCAGTAAGTACATCCACATTTGTACTGGATTGCCATGTGCATAAATCGGTGGTATTATTGTTCCTTTGTATTTGTGTTCTCCTTATTGGTGTTTTAGATAATATTGATTTGGTTAGTTAACCACAAATCAAACGTTTTTCATATTGATAAATTATTGTACTCAAATGTACACACACTTCTACCAGATGTGGTGGGGTTCATTTTTGCTACGTTTACACAGCAGGAATCTGATTTTCTCACCAAATCCGATTTTTTTGTTTGGCTGTTCACATTATCTTTTAAATGTGTCCTGTATGCGACATCAGTCTGAACAGATCACGCTCCTAAACCGACCCGCATGCGCAAAAAAACAGAGCTTCACGTGGCGTGCTCGTCCAGAGGTAAATAATCATGATGGCTACCGAACCCCAGTCGCTCCCGGAGGTTTCTGTTTCGTCTTCGCCAGCATCACAGGAGCGATTATGAAGTTCCAGTGGTTGACAGCTGGACTCATCACCCACAGCGTGTCCTCGGATTCTTTAAACTGTTCTTTGACGCTGAAGCCTCGGTCTCCTCCGGCCGCGTTCGGCCGTTTCGTTCGAGATCTCTTCCAATACGTAGCGGTTGCGATGAGTCTCTTCTAGTTTTGGTACAGAAACATCA